GGTATGGGTATGGGTAGGAGATGGAAAAGCATTTCGTTTTCCATTTGCTTCCTGAAACCCGAGGGATTTCTGCGACTGCAGAGAGAGATGGGGTGTCCGTTAGGTGCCCTTTAACTGTCACTTTTGTGATTTGTCCACCCTTGATTGTTGTGTGATTCATTCTCACAAGTGTTCTATGCACAAGGTTTCATGTTATTCTTTCCTTTTAATTTTGATATTGTTGTGCTTAATTTCTGTTTTATTTTATTGAGTGATTAGATTACAATTTACAATCCCCAATTTTTTATTTTTACTTTTTATGCCTCACTGCTATTGCTTTTATTGTGTCGTATAGAATAGACTTTTTTGAATGTTATTACCGCTGTGGTTTCTATGTGTTCGATACTGATATTGGTCTTTCCCACATGTGCTCTTTTCACAAGGTTTCATATTTTTCACAGGATCCGCTCACCCTATGGGCACCCGCGCCGGTGGGCTTGGCCCTTCCATCTCCTCCAACCGCAGGTGCATATATATATATATATATATATATATATATATATATATATATATATATATATATCTCTGTCAAATCTACTTATTTGCATATGTGTCTTTGTGTAGGGTTTGTTCCTGATCAGTTTTCCGTCATTTTTAACAATCTATGCAATTATATTGCTTTGGATTAGGATTTCAAATTGAGGTTTTTAATACGTTTGTTTTGGAATTTTTGAGATTGTTGGAAATTTTAGGGTTTGATGATTATTATTTCAAATATTCAGTTTTAAGACGCATATTAACAATGCACAAGGAGGAGCCAAGGCAAGTGTAGCCACTGTAAACACTAAGGATTCCAGTATTGCTTCTGCGCAACACGACGTTGTACAAAATGGAGCCTGTGTACATCCCCAATTACTGTTGGAAATTCAAATCAAAACAAGTTGCTATTGTTGAAAATCAATGTCAAAGTTAGGCATTGAAAGTTAGGCAATGTTAGGTATGGTTGAATAAAAATTATTAGGTGCAATTAATGTGTTTTGTGTGGTAATAAATAATCTTAGTTTAATCATTTGGTTTGCTATAAATACCCAAGTTCTCAAGCATTGTAAATCATCCCATAAAAATCCCATTTCTCATTCTCATTTTAAGCTTGTAAGCTATAGAGTTTGTAAACTCTCTTTTCATATATCAAAGTCCAAGTGTTTTATCAAAGCTTGTTGCTTCCCTCCTTTCTCTATTTCTTTGTCCAATTTTATTTGAGAGTGCAAAGTGAAAGAGGTGTGATAGAGTTTGTAAACTTATCACCCACATATTTTGGTATTGAGTTAGTAAACTGTCAAATACCAACAATTGGTATCAGAGCCAGAATACCATTCTGGCAGGTGCAGCAGTTATGGCGTCCAACTTAGTGCAACTCCAAGTTCCCACATTGAAGAAAGAAAATTATGAAAGATGGTGCATCCAATTCAAAGCATTGTTTGGATCACAGGAGCTATGGGAAGTTGTCAGTAGTGGGTATGTTGTACCCACTGCCGAGCAAGAAGCCGTATCTACTGCGGATCAAAGGAACACTCTCAGGGACTTACGAAAGAAGGACCAAAAGGCGCTGTATCTTCTATACCAGGGTTTGGAAGATTCAACGTTCGAGAAGGTTGCAGAAGCAACAACGAGCAAACAAGTATGGGATACACTCAGTACAATCTACAAAGGAGTAGATCGAGTCAAGAAAGTGAGGTTACAATCACTTCGAGCAGATTTTGAAACTGCTCATATGAATGAAGGGGAGAGCATCTCCGACTATCACTCAAGGCTCATTGTGATAGTAAATCAGATGAGGAGAAATGGCGAGAGACTCGATGAAGTACGAGTTGTGGAGAAGATACTCCGGTCACTCACATCTAAGTTTGAGCATGTGGTGACTGCCATTGAGGAATCCAAGGATTTGGAGGTGATGAGCGCAGAAGAGCTACTAGGATCCCTCCTAGTTCACGAGCAAAACATTCAGAAGAATGCAAACCCCACAACGCTAGAGCAAGCTTTGGAGTCAAAGTTGAATATTGACAAACCAAATAAAGGTCGTGGGCAGTGGAACTCACGTCGTGGGAGCCCATCCAACCGTAGCCGAGGACGAGCCCGAGGAAGAGGTCGAGGCTATGCACAAAATCAAGGTCAGTCTCAGGAGTGGAGATCTACTCGAGGAAAGGCGCATATCCAGTGTCACAACTGTAAGCAATATGGACATTATGCCAATGAATGTTCACATAAAAATGGTGAGCATGTCAACATGGCAGAATCAAGTGGAAATACCGATGAAGAACTTACAGTCTTACTAGCACACCATGATTCCAGTAGCCAACAAGATGTTTGGTATTTGGACTCTGGTGCAAGCAATCACATGTGTGGAAAGAAGGAGTTTTTTGCCGAACTCAAAGAAGGGGCCTATGGATCTGTAAGTCTTGGTGACTCCTCAAAGTTGCCAGTTGAAGGCAAAGGGAAGATCAAGATCATCCAGAAGGATGGAAGAGAAGAATACATCTGCGATACCTACTACATACCAGGTATGAAGAGCAACATTCTGAGCATTGGTCAACTGCTCCAGAAAGGGTACATTATACATATGGAGAACATGCTTCTCACTCTCAGGAATGCAAGGAGAAAGCTTATTGCACGTGTTCGAATGTCAAAGAACTGGATGTTTCCGTTGAATTTGAACACAAAGATTGGAAGCTGCAACATCGGTGTAATGGAAGATGAGTCATGGAAATGGCATCTTCGATTTGGCCATCTTAATTTCAATGGCCTAAAGTTGCTGTCAAGTGGAGGAATGGTTCGTGGTCTACCCCAGATTGAAGCCACACGCCAAGTATGTGAAGGTTGTGTGCTTGGCAAGCAAGCACGACTATCGTTCCCTGTTGGTGATACATGGAGAGCAAAGGCACCACTGCAGTTGGTGCACACAGATATATGTGGTCCATTGGATCCCATGTCTTATGGAGGAAATAGGTATTTTATTACCTTCATTGATGATTTCAGTAGAAAGACTTGGGTCTATTTTCTCAAGGAGAAGTCAGCTGCCCTAAAAATTTTCAAGGAGTTCAAGGCACTCACAGAGGCAGAAAGTAACCACAAGCTTGTGGCTGTGAGATCAGATAGAGGTGGAGAGTACACCTCCAATGCTTTCCAAGCATACTGCAAGGAGCAAGGAATTAGGCATCAACTTACTGCTGCCTACACCCCACAGCAAAATGGGATAGCCGAAAGAAAGAATCGAACCATCCTTGACATGACAAGGTCCATGCTTAAGGAGAAGAATTTGCCAAAAGAGTTATGGGCAGAAGCTGTAGCTTGTTCGATTTATTTGTTGAATCGATGTCCAACAAAGAGTGTCAAGAGGATGACACCACAAGAGGCTTGGAGTGGATACAAGCCGAATGTTACACACCTAAGAATTTTTGGGTGTGTTGCATATGCTCAAGTTCCAGAAGCCAAGAGGAGGAAACTTGATGATAGAGGTGAGAAATGTGTGTTTGTGGGCTATAGTGAAGAGTCCAAGGCATACAAGCTCTACAACCCACTAACTGGCAAACTAGTGGTTAGTAGAGATGTCATCTTCAGTGAGGGAGAGACATGGACGTGGAACAACAAAGAAGTCAGTAAAGAGAAGATCGTCTCCACTGATTTTGAAGAACCAGAAGTTGTACCACCGATTGAGCAACAACCTGCTCAAACAATCACAACAACTCCAGTGCACAGAATTGCAAGGAGTGGTCCTACATCTAGTGAGGAAAGCAGCTCCTCAACTCCAGTGAGGTTAAGGAATCTCACAGAGATTTATGGACAAGAAGAAGAAGAAGAAACCAACCTTTTCTGCTTGTATGCAGACCACGAGCCTTTCTCATTCAATGAAGCTGTGGAAGAAGATTGTTGGAAGAAAGCCATGGAAGAAGAGATCCATGCCATCGAGAAGAATGACACTTGGGAGCTGACAAAGCTCCCACCAAATCAGAAGGCTATTGGTGTCAAGTGGGTTTACAAGATCAAACGCACTGCAGATGGGAGTGTGGATCGATACAAATCAAGGCTTGTAGCAAAGGGCTACAAACAGAAGTATGGAGTGGACTATGATGAAGTCTATGCTCCAGTTGCGAGACTTGACACGGTAAGATTGCTAATCTCTCTTGCCGCACATCATAAATGGAAAATTTATCAACTAGATGTCAAGTCAGCCTTCCTTAATGGAGTACTTGAGGAAGAAGTGTACGTGGAACAACCGGAAGGCTTCCAAGTACAAGGAGAAGAAGATAAGGTGTATCGTTTGAAGAAGGCTTTGTACGGCCTCAAGCAAGCACCACGAGCTTGGAACTCAAGGATCGACAACTACCTTCACCAAAATGGATTTCAGAAATGTCCATACGAGCATTCAGTTTACATGAAGAATGGTGAAAAAGGGGAGTTCTTAATTATTTGTCTCTATGTAGATGATTTATTGTTTACAGGAAACAATGAGGCAATGTTCCATGAGTTCAAGCAATCCATGTTCAGTGAATTCGAGATGACTGACAATGGATTAATGTCATACTTTCTTGGCATAGAAGTGAAGCAAGAAAGTGATGGTATCTACATCTCTCAACAAAGGTACATGAGAGACATATTGAAGAAGTTCAATATGGACAAGTGCAACACTGTCAATACCCCAGTCGCAACTGGATTGAAGCTGTCCAAAGGAGGAGAGAGTGAGTTTGTAAACTCAACAGTGTACAAAAGCCTCGTTGGAAGCCTAAGGTACCTTACAATCACAAGACCTGATATAGTTTATGGTGTTGGACTCGTGAGTCGATACATGGAAACACCAAGGGAGTCTCATTGGCTGGCCGCCAAGAGAATTTTGAGGTACATAAGAGGTACTCTAAACTATGGTCTATTTTATAATTTTGGTGAAGATGCAAAATTATTTGGTTATTCAGATAGTGATTGGGGAGGTGACCAAGATGAAAGGAAAAGCACAACTGGCTATGTGTTTTTTCTAGGATCAACAGCTTTCTCATGGACTTCAAAGAAGCAATCAATTGTTGCTTTGTCATCATGTGAAGCCGAGTATGTTGCTGTAGCCTCAACCGTGTGTGAGGCAATTTGGTTAAGAAATCTGTTGAAGTCAGTGTGTCATCCACAAGTGGAATCGACTGTGATTCACGTAGATAACGTGTCTGCAATCAAACTTGCAAAAAATCCTGTTCAACATGGAAGGAGCAAGCACATTGATACCAGGTTCCATTTTCTAAGGGACCATGTGAAGCAAAAGACAATTGAACTTGTCTACTGTCACACCAAAGAACAAGTGGCAGACATCTTCACAAAGCCATTGCCAATTGAAACATTCCGGCTACTGCGTGAAATGCTAGGAATGAAGGCGTTTTGATTTGAGGAGGTGTGTTGGAAATTCAAATCAAAACAAGTTGCTATTGTTGAAAATCAATGTCAAAGTTAGGCATTGAAAGTTAGGCAATGTTAGGTATGGTTGAATAAAAATTATTAGGTGCAATTAATGTGTTTTGTGTGGTAATAAATAATCTTAGTTTAATCATTTGGTTTGCTATAAATACCCAAGTTCTCAAGCATTGTAAATCATCCCATAAAAATCCCATTTCTCATTCTCATTTTAAGCTTGTAAGCTATAGAGTTTGTAAACTCTCTTTTCATATATCAAAGTCCAAGTGTTTTATCAAAGCTTGTTGCTTCCCTCCTTTCTCTATTTCTTTGTCCAATTTTATTTGAGAGTGCAAAGTGAAAGAGGTGTGATAGAGTTTGTAAACTTATCACCCACATATTTTGGTATTGAGTTAGTAAACTGTCAAATACCAACAATTACATGGTACAGATTTCTAAGTATCAGTTCTCTTTTAGTCTAGAAAATGTATGTGTTTGAAGGAGTTCAGGAATATTAGATAATTGTGTTCTTTTTTAACATCTGAGTTACCCATTTTGTTTGATTTTCATTTCTTGGCAACGTTTTTCCTTCTACTGATTTAATGTAGGAGGTTTTGATGCGCCTGTTGCAAGCACGCTTTCCGGACAGCTGAAGCTTCAGCCTCCCAGAAAAGCTCCCGAACTGTTCCAAAGGTTCCAAAGGCTCTGACTTCTCAAGAACACCACCTCTCTTTCATCAACAAAGCTTGATAATTTGTTTTATTTTTTTTCTGGAAAAATTCCCGATTTTGAGTTTTTTCAAATTTTGTTTTGTTTTGTTTTTGTTAATTGCAGCTGCCAGTAGCAATTTTCCCAGTACACATGCCCTCGATGCAGCTCACGCTACTGTTCCCTGCACCGCTAGAAGGTATGCATGCTGATTTGTCCATATTCTTATTTATTTTATTATTTAGCAAAATCAAACATTTGATCACCTTCTTTTGATTTTGGGTTTGGTGGGTTTGATGCGTACTGATAAATTTATTTGGTTTTGGTTGATCTGAAATTGGTGATTGCATAACACGTTGGAATGTGAATTTTCATGCGTTTTGTAATTCTGAGTCTGTGTTTGGATGCTTTAATATGTTGGATTACCTTAGATACTGGCCTTCCGTGACTCCCTTGATTTATGCATGATGGAACTAATTTACTTTAGAATGGATAATTTTTCTGGTCTTCTTACTTTTGTTGGAATGTTGTTAATGTAATTTGTTAATTTTGGATATTTGTTTGTCATGGGTTCTGTAGAATTAGACTCCAGTTGTGTCCTCTGGTTTTCCGATTTTTTTTCTCAATTAGGATATTTCTTACCAATTTCCTTTGAGATTTGTGCATGTGTGTTTGTTAATGCTCATCGCTCGGTGAGGGTTTCAGGGATGGGAGGTCATACCGATAGACATAGAGATAGAGATAGAGATATATAGAGGAAGACAGAAAGGGAGAGATAGAGGGAGAGGGAGAGGGAGATGGAGAAGGAGGGAGGCAGACAGCGAAAGAGTGATAGAGAGAGAGAGAGAGAGAGAGGGAGAGGAAGGAGTAGGGATCTCATCGCCATTGCTGCAGATCCTCGATTTCATGAGTGGGAGAGGGGGGACAGTCAGAGAAAAGCATGGGGGCCGTCGGGATTTGAGGGAGGGGTAGGGATCGTGGCTAGGGGTTTGGGTTTGTCCCTTTGGACCGTTTCCGACAGCACCACTGCGCTCAAACACTGTCTTGTAGTGGAACGCTCTCCCCCTCTTACTCAATCCTCTGCTTCTTCTTTGATTCATGGTTGGTTGATTTATAAAAAACCTTCGAGGATAAATTTGGGGTGGGATCTACGTTTTCTCTACATAACTTAAATTTTGCATTTTTTTTTCTAGATTTCAATTAAGAAATGAATAAATTTGGGGGTTATTAGTTTTGTGTTTTGTTGTTTATATGCTGGAATTACAGGACAGGGAGGAAGACAAGGATTTGGACCCTAGATGTGCTCTCCTTCGTCCATCATGCATCTTCATGTCCTCATTCACAAGATAAGTACCATCTTTATACTTGATTTTCTACTGTTTTGTTTGGTTTTGATTCTCTCTGCCATTCTCACTCCACTCTCTGTCTCTCACTCAGTTCGAAGCTCTTCAACTTTTTCGCACAAGCTCTCAAACATCTCAGATCCCTCACTCACCCTTCTATCATCGACACCCCAAAGGTATATCTCTCTCATCGCTTTCAGAATTCTATATATATATATATATATATATATGTGTGTGTGTGTGCGCGCGCGCGCGCGCCAATGGAAGTTAATAATTTTATTGTTCTCTGGGGTTGGTTTTGTTCATGAATAAAGTACTGTGTTTTCGCTATATTTTGGTTTCAAGAAGTTGATGGTTTTGGGTTATGTTCTTTTTTCCCTTTTTTCTCAATTCTCAGTGAGTGGCACTTTTTCTCAATTCTCACCCTCTTCATGTTTTATCCAATATTATGTTTTTTTATCTGATTTCATGTGTTTTCTTGACGCTTTTCCATTCTTTGATATGGGTAATTTGTTGTTATGTTTTCATGATCTGGGTCTTTTTTCAATTTGCATTTTGGTTGTCCAAGATTTCTAAGTTTTTTTTTTTTTTTTTTTTTTTTTTTAATAAAAATATAAGAACAAAACTGAACATTGAGGAGTTTATGATCAACTTTTTGAAGTGTCAGTAACACTTCGCTTTAGGAATATGTAAAACTACCAATCATTGTTTGATAATTCCTTATGTAATGAACGACTTGGACTTTACCATAAATTAATTTAATTTCTATTGCAGCATATCTAGTCATTTTCTATGTAAATTTCCCCTCATGTTTCAGTTCTGGCATTCCCCTCAAAACATCATTTGTGTCATTTCCTCTTTTTCTGTGCTCAGCTTACATACCTTACGTATATATTGGAGACTACGACGATAAAAGATGTCAGTTAGTGTATATAAAAGCCAAGCTGCTTATCTTATCGACCTCATTCACTCATGTGTTCATGATTGCTTTGAATTTATTTAGGTTAAATGTGTTTTATTCATGCAGTTACGTCTAAACAGTTGATTCACGCCGCAACATGCAGGCATATTTTCTATATAGACTAAGATTTGGTAATATATGGGGGTGAGACGAGCTATTTCATTCCGAACTAAGACCTAAGAATCTTCGCAATTCTTATCCTTTAGATTTTTTATTTTTTTTTAAATATTTATTAATTTTTTGGTGATGCAGATAGATGAACATGTTCAAAGGGAAATCATGAATCATAGATCACTGAAGCATCCGAATATCATTCGATCCAAAGAGGTTAGTGATCATAAACTATTTTCATTTTGTATTTTTTATTTATTTATTTATTTTTGGTGATGCAGATGCAGATGGATGAACATGTTCAAAGGGAAATCATAAACCATAAATCACTGAAGAATCCGAATATCATTTGAGTCAAAGAGGTCAGTGATCACTATTCAATCCTTTTTTAGGCTTCAAACAATACTATTAAATGGTTTTCAACATTGGATTTAATAAACCTGTAATACAGGTTTAGAGTTTTGGTTTGGCTTTGATGTTTTCCACCATCACAGATTTTCCCTGATTCTTTCTATTTTTATTATACTTATAAATGAAATTGATCCCTGGATTGCAGTTACTTTTCGGCATCCAACAACACTGATATAGCATTTAGTTGTAGATTACTTATATGGGTCTTTAACTACAATATTAAATTTCTTACTTTTTTCATGTTTTTACTTTTGACTTACTGATATCTATTTTAGAATGTGGAATTATATCTAATATTTGTTTATTTCCTGACTGTCTTAATCCCTCACTGTCTGTAGATTTTAAATTTTGGTAAGAACCATGATAATGACTGACAAGCATGATGTTGTTTTCGAAATATATATTAGCATCCCCTTCTCACCCAACTGCCAAAATCAGGTGGCTTGACTTGAGGTGTGTTCAGATATTGTAATTAATGAACAATTAGGTTACACTTTAACAACAATGTGTAAAAAGGGTTGATAACCGCATTTTTAAGAGAGAAGTACTATTTTGTCTAACCCTTTTGAGTTCCCATATATTTTCTTTGTTTCATTTATACATCTGTTGGAGGATTGGAGGGGATTGGGAGGCAGATGAGTGAGACTTCTGATGGTTACACAGAAATAAATGCTCTCTCACATCTTGAACCAGATTACTGTTGCTTTGGCAGGTATGAATGATTCTAGCCTTTTTTTAGAGGAACTCTATGCTTTCCATTTCAATCAGAATATTCTGTTATTAGAAGCAATTACATAGAGTTTGGTCAACTAAAATGGCTGGACAGAAAAAATGGTCCTAATTGTTCACTCTCTAATGATGTTGGCAAGTAACGTTGATTGTTCTAAACGCTGGCGGTGCTTTTGTTTTCCACAATGTAAGCCCATGATTATGCGATGGTGCTCAATTTGGATTTGTTGCATAGCTAGAAGGATCATCTTGCTGTAATTGTTGAAGACCGTTATATGCCAAGGTATTGATTCTTTCGAATCCCGGTTAAAAAAAAAAAGTCAGATTTATATATATATTTTGCATCATTATACTTAGTCTACTTGGGTTAGCTTAAGATTACAGAGAACAGCCTACTACATGGGGAAATAAATCTTTCTTATAGCATGCATATCCATATATAGCAAGCAAAGTTTCACTTGGTTCTTAGGCACTAGACCGTCTTCCCTTTAGCTTATAATTAGCTGCTCATGAATTCTTGGCATCTTATTTTATTCTTCTTATTGGGGTGTTTTACAGCACTGTAGATTTTTTCAAGGAGCTTCCTCAGTTTGTTGTGAAGGCTGGTTCAATTTTAAGTAATAATGGTGTAGATTGGGAAAACAAACTTGAGGTATTCATTTTTCAGAGATAGTTTATGCTTGAAATTAGCCCTGTTTTTTTTTATCTTCCAACATTCTGTTTTCTTGGAGTTACTGTGTGCTTGAAAACTTGCTGAAACAACAATGGAACAGTTATTTTGTTTTTTGCTACCTTAACTGCAAGGGCAAAATATGTTTGGACTGCATCTTGCTTTTGTTTCTTACGGAAATAGGCATCCTGCATTTTTTTTTTCTTTGAACATTAGTGCTTGAAAGCTTAGCTGCTGAAACAAAAACAGAACACTTACAATGTTTTTTGTTAACTGCTGAAACAGGCGGCTGGCCTGCAGTACATATATTTTGTCATCTTAACTTCAGAGGCAATATATGTGTGAACTGCATGTTGCTTCTGTTTCTTATGGAAACACAGAATTTTTTGTAATCACATCTTTTGTAATCAAGAACGTTCAACTTCGTCCTGTTAATTGTACAATGTCTTTTCATATCAGCTATGTTGAATGTATACAAAAATCAGGATGCTTATGTTACTGACTCTTTTCACTCATCTATCCTTCTATTTGTTCATGATTATGTTTAATTTATTCAGGTTAAATGTTTCTTATTCATGCAGTTAGGACTAGTGCATTCAAGTCTCGCAACAACGCCAGGCATATTTTCTAGTGACCTCTATTACATGAAGAATTTCAATTATGATAATGTGTATGACAAAAAGGGGTTATCAGACAAGACAGTGCATTATTGAGTAGATGCAACGAAAATATTATCCTATCATATCATAGGGCTGGTATCCGAGCACAGATGGCGGTGCACAGGCATATAACATAGTTTAGGTTTCTATTATTTTACCACCATTTTGGCTTTTCTAGTTGTGGACCTCCCTTTTCTATACCATTAGCTTCATGATTAATCATAAATCATTATTATGGTAACGGATCTATACTCTTAACTATTTATTTAAATTACAATTAATCCCCATAAATTTGCCTCAGTATGATTAATTAAGGGATTTAAACAAGGCAACTTTAACGAAAACCTTACGGTATTGTTCACTATATTTATTGGATTTAAAATTCCATATGCTATTCATGAGAGAAGTTTTTATTTTATTTTATTTTATCATTTATTATTATTATATTTTTTGTTGAACGATAGATTTTGTTAGATTAGATGTTAGATTAGTTACCGTCAGGATTTGAATCCATGTCGTCATACAAGGGTTCAACACCTCTATCACTGTGGTAAAGAGCCACTCGCAATGCAACATGAGAATTTTTCAGGAGAACAAAAAATGAAGGATTGAAGTTGAAGGATGGCCGTTCCGATACCATGTAACGAAATAAAAAAGTGGAGATTTTCGTTTGCAACAGTAGTTCATATGATTAGTTCCTTAGCTTCTTTGAATGGAGAATTAAAGCACACAACTTTTTACCCTGATCAACTCTCACTGTCACAGAATCAGAAAAGCAAGATATCTAGGACCCCGATCTGTAACCTAATGTATAAATATTTGCTGCTTTTTCATTTTTTATTTTACTCCTTGCCAACTGATATAAACATATGAGTACAGAATCAGAAAAGCAAGATATGCAGGACCCCCGATCTGTAGCACTAATCCCATACATTATGTAAGACTGTACTACTACCTAATAATTACGAACTCACACCTCACTCACACAAAACTTATGATATTATTTGATGTGTTCGTTTTTATTTGGAACTTGAATGGATTATAGACCCTGCATTATCCGGCATCATCTTCCGTCAAAGTGGGAACTAGTACTACTTGACTAACAGAAAGAAACCAACTCAAAGTGGCACTGGGTCAATAAAAAGCGAAGCAACGATATCTTTCGTAAGTTTCCCAACATGTGTGAAGCCGTCTCCTCTTTTGTAAAGCAGATCCACAACCCTTGTCAAATTAAGAACACGCACGAGGACAAACTCTGGCACTGCAGTTGGTCTAAGTAACTCCTCGTTTATATCCTCCCACATATCCACTATTTGTTTGTTAAACGCAGCAAGTGTCTCTTGCTCCGACACGTCATATTGCTTCATGTAACAATCAATACTAGAAGTTACATGCCGTCTCTCTTTCTCAAACTGCAAAAATTGACTCCCAAAGAGAATTTGCGTTACTTTTATATATGTAGCACCCAATATTCACTTTAATATAGTTCAATTTTTGAGCTTTAATAAAAAAGGCTTCACCAAATTTTTCTAACCAAAAAAACTACCTAATAACTTTCTTTAATGAAAAATCTTAAAATTTTATGAAAAGTACTTCAAATTTATTGAAAATGATAAAAACTTTAATATAGTAAAGAAAATAAAAAAGACAACAAAAAAAAAAAAAAAAACAACAAACAAACAAACACGCTGGTCCAATGCTTCTCACCACTCTCTCTCTTCCCCTCTCACACCCATCCATATCAAACACACATTCTCTCTCCCCCTCTCACACCCATCCATATCAAACACGCATTCTCTCTCATGTCACTCTACACTTACTCCATAACCTTACTCCATAACCAATATATATTTTTTTATTTTTATTATTTGACCATTGTTTCATAATTTTTTTTTAAAACAAATCAAGTAATAATAATATAATATTACAATTTCAAAAATGAAGAAAAATTTTAGTTTCAGTTTTGTAAACAATATTTATTTTAAATCTGAAATAGTTATTTTAACATTAGTTTGGACAAATTTTTTGAGTTTATATCATGTAATATGAATTAAAAATATAACCATACATAAAAGAAAGAGAGTGGATGTGAAAGGGATGAGGAGAGATAGGGGAAAACTAATTTGTGTTTTTTTTATTAGGTGAATTGCCGATTTAATCCTTGAATTATCATCTCAGTGAATTAGGTCCTTGAATTAATTTTGGTAAAATAAGATCCTAAATTCCTTAAAAATTGCTAATTTCATTCCAAATATTATATTCAAAGCTATTTTATTTTTCGTCAACTTAAATCACTTGACACATTTTATAATGTAATACCATTATTTTCTCGCGTATAAGCCCTTAACATTTTATATAGGTTACAATCTAACATCTAATTAACTCCATACACTATTTCTCTATGAAAAATTACCAATCTACCCAACAATGTGTATCACATACAAGTAACGTGACTTAAATTGACAAATTTTTTTATAGAGTAGCTTCGAATCTAATATTAAGGATGTAATTGGAAGAATTTTATAACTCAAGAATTGATGTTTCTGAAAAAATAGTTTAGAAGACCTTATTTACTCAGGTGAAAATTCATGGACTAAGTTGGCAGTTCATCACTTCATCTTATTTTATTATATTTTTTTGTCTTAACTATTAAATAAAATTATTAAATAGCTATTGGCTAAGGTTTAAAGTTTTGAAACCCTTTTTATTAGTTTTTTTTTTTGTCAAACACTTTAATATAATTTATATATTATTCAATGTACCGAGAATAATATCCTGTACCTTGTGGCCAGCAATGTCATCCATGAGCCTAAAAATGATATTGGAAGCTCTGAGAATTTTAGGGTTATTGGACAACCACTGGAACACGTCATTTGTTACAATATCTCCCATGCCAACTAAACATACAGTTGAAAGGAGGCTGTTACCAACAGAAGCCGTTGCAACATGCATATACTCCTCCATGCTTGGGATGCATTGTTCCCGTAACCATCTGGCCTCATCAAAGTAAGCATGGGCAACAACTTTCCACTGTATGTGACAATGACATGTTTAGTGTGAAAACTTAACCTTCAATATTTAAACTACTCTAAAAAAAAAAAAAAAGAACCAAGGAATCCTCAATAGTTTGAGTAGGGGGAAAAAAAAAAAAAAAAGGTCTCGTTTGATACCCATGAATTGAAAACTCAACAAATAGCTTTCAATTTTTCATTTGTTTACTGAAAACTAAACTCTAAACCTAAACCTAAACCTAAACTAAACAAAATTTTTTTCAATTTTTAAATTTTTTTTAAAAAAGACGATAAGTAAAAATGAAATGATTATAATGCTTAACTACTAAAAAGTAAAAGTTAATCAAGCTAGCTAAGCATGCATGTGTTACATACAGCTTCTTTTGCATAGCGAACCCGGTATGACTTTCCTTCTGTTACCATATCTTCCTCAATTTCGTTGAAAAGATTCACAAGTGCAAGATAAAATGTTTGCATATAGTCCGGAAGTTCATCAATGAAATTAACATCCCACCTGAAATTTGCATAAACATTAGATCATCCTAAGCATAGCTTTAGGAAAAACGTAATCTTTATATAAAGCCACTTTGTTTAAATCAAACCTTCTAATTGCTTCTGTAAAGATGTCAAGTTCTTCGAATGTACCAAATGCGTCGTAGATATCGTCCATTACTGTCCCCAAAGCAATGACTTTGGCCATAATTTTTCTGGCTGTAGAGTAATGGGGTTCAAAAAATACTCCCGTTGTCCAAAAGTACAATTCAACTATCCTGTCTCTTGCAAACGGCAGCTTTCTTTCAAACTCGAGTTCTTTCCACCATCTAATTAATGAAAACATTTACAAATTGGATTATAACTCATAACTATAGGAATATTTTTCTTACAAACTATATCTCTTATGCTCAAATTAAAAATAAAAATGGACTTATTACCTAGTAATTTCCCTGAGCTCCTTTTTGTGCAAAGATTGAACAAGATTGAAATCCAACTTTGCAAGTTGTAATAAAGCTTCACTGTGTGAAGCTTCTTCTTGATAGATTGACATGTAATTCCTGACACCTAACCTCACTAGACTCTTTAGCAAAGGTCTCTCCAAGGCTTGAGTTATTTGAGCTGCCATTGAACAGCTTAAACTGGTTGCAGTGGACTCGAGGTGAGTGGTGGTGAAAACAAGAGCCTCTTTTAGTATGTCTTCTCCATGCACCCCTAGATGTGTTGCTTCATAAAGGCTTAGCAAACCCGGCACATCGGCAATTAAGCTTTCCTTGAAGCTACCATCTTCACCTTTGAACTTTTGGAATATATCTACTTGATTGCCAGAAAATGAAGACATAAAAAAGAAAATAGAATAAAGCATCCAAAAATCTCTCATGCACACGACATTCCTACCAATAAATTATTTAATTAATACATGCATATACGTGCAAGTGGTGGATTGCCCGACTAGATACAATCTTCCTATCCAAAACCCACCTTTCCCTCTAGTGTGTAACTTACTAGTGCTTGTAATAAAGAAAACTATAAATCTACAAAATACGTACCACATGAAACATTAAATCCATGTTGCCTTAGTAGCCGAAAACGAAGAGCAACATTGGATAGATCACCACCATTATTAACGCCATTGTCCTTATATGCAGCAATATGTATGCGTTCCAAAGCTTCTTTAATCTCTTTTTCAAAATGATATGCCACGCCAAGACGTTGGATTGCATCAATTAACTTGAGTTGTTGTGAAAAGTCACCGGCTCCAGTTGTTAATATTTCATTACTCACTACTACTTTCAGTTCCCCAAGTTCCCGTTGCATTTGGCCATTGTTTGTCTACATCAACAATTTGTTAATTAAATGAACTAAAATATTGGAAAAAGTAGAAATTTTGACAGCGAGCAAAAGGCATGAGATTACAATGTCTTGTGAATTGTCGTAGACTGTGAACCGATCTCCCCAAATGCTTGGGTGAAAATTTGCAGTAGGACGAGCAATTTCGAGCTTATTATCAGCTTGGGTAGCAGATACGGTCTTTATTTTTATTTTTTTTTCATAGAAAAAATTTAGGTTGGGAAGTCGTACAGGCAAACCTAGAGAAGGGGAAGGATAGAGCGAAAAGCTAGAGTTGAAGTTTGACATTGATCTTGTTTTTAAAGAGTCCATTACGACTAAAGCAGAATAATGAAAAAGGATCTTTTGGAATGCAGAAACTCTCGGGGAGCATCAACTCTTACTTATACTCGGGATCTTTTCGAATTTTATTTTATTTTATTTTTTTGGAAAGCCTCAATGGTAGAAGAGAAAATTTATTCATGACGACAGTCAGGGAGGATATAAAGACGAAAACAAAAATGATTAAAGAAAAAAGAGGAGGGAGGGACATGAAACATAACCTCTCTAAAACCAAACCTAAAGGTCTAAATTTACAAGACAAAACCACCAAGTTAAGAAAAAAAAAAGTGAGACAAACATGGATGCCGAGATGCATATTAATTTGAGAAGCGGTAGTCATGCAAGTCAACATAGTCCGAAAACAAAGCAACACGAGCTACCGGTTGAGGATAATCATGTCATGTTAAAGTTGGAGAAGACAAGCTCATGTTAGCAAAATTGGCCATAACAAAATTTCCTTCGCGATATATATGTGGGATGAGTGGAAAGTCATTTTCCAAATGCGTTACAAACAAAATAGACCATTGCGTACGAAAAGGCCAAGAAGGATCAAAATCAGACAATTGAAGAGCAGAAATAACACTAGAATTGTCACTTTCCAACGAAAGACAATGCCAACCTCGCATACAAACTCGAACCAATAATACCTGATAATTTTGCAAAAAAAATAAAATAAAAATAAAAATAAGTTGCCATGACCAATCCATTGATAAAAACCATCAAAAAAACGACCATGGCAATTCCTGAAAACTCCTCCACAAGTACCAGGACCTGAATTTCCTTTAGAGAAACCATCTTCATTAAGTTTAATCCAAGAATTCCAAGGAGGAGACCAAAGGACAGGAAGGATAGTAAGTGCCTTACATGGGATAGGTTGGATCTTAAGGGAAGAAATGATCTAGTGTCAAAACCCTGAGAGTAAGCAGGAATAAACTTCTCACCATGAACAATCGCATAATTGATAGACATGCAAAGACGATAAAAAAAAGATTGGTCGACCCTAAAAATTCATAGTAATTAATATACAAGTGTGAAAGTGTGATAGTGTGAAAATGTGAAAAAAAACAAAAATATACAAATGCTTGTGATTGCATCCAACTACGCTTAGACAATGGTTACATCGTTGTTTAGATTTTTAAAACCCTCCAATCTCATAATTGGTGTTTTTTTATTTATTTATTATTTTTTTTATTACAAAACTAATAATAATTAATATAGAAGTGTGAAAAATGTAAATACACACACACACACACAATTGCTCATAATGACATGCTTTGCAACTTTCGTTAAGGGATGAACTCCAAAATTCAACACCACAATCCACAAACTCTAGGTTTATGTTTAATCGGTCAATTGTCGTTTACGCTATATTATTCTCACCAAATTTTGTTCAGATTTTTTTTTCCTTCTGAAAACATAATTTTTTTAGCGGATGCAGAAAATGAATGATTCGGATCGTTGCTATCACATTTTGTTGTTTATGATTAATTGAAATGATGGAATGGTATATAGTTTCTAGAAACTTTATAAATTTCAAGCAATATTTTTACAAATCGTAAAAATCTGAATGTTATATCAATGATCCGAACCGTTAATATTTCTGCACCTGCTAAAGCATGTTTTAAAAAAAAATCTGAAGAAAAAAAAAATTTGGTGAAAAGAATGGAGTGTAAGCGTAAACGTAACGACAATCAACGGTTAAATTTAAATTTATGGTTCATTAGGCTCTTATTTTGAGGTATGTAATATTTGAAAGACAAATGTGTTTTTATATTTTGAAGTAATATTTATGTGACATTGTGAGATGTAGATACTAATTTAGTATTACGTTATCTATTTGATTATGTACTGAAGTAAAATATATTTTCATTAACGGATGATTTATGGGTCAAGTTCGGTCTATATCATATAACTCATTTATTTTAACAAATGTTACATGATACAATATTTTAAAATATCGATAAAAACACAACACAAAAGTCGTATCTAGTTGGAAGCGACCAAATACAGCGTAAGAGAAGGACGGGGCTAAGCGAATGATTATGCACATAAAACGTAGGGACGTGAAACGCCCGGTTGAGGAGAAAAGAAAGGGTCCCAAAACAACAGACATGAGCATGACACGCATGGACGGGAAGCGCCCAGTAAAAGATAAGGGGCGGGAACCAAGCAAATCATATGGACGTGAAGAGCCCAGTGCATTGGGAAAAAAAAGCCATGAAAGGAATGTCCAAACTGATCATCAAGTTCGCAACTTGACATTACTCACATGTGGAGCGCTTATTGGCCCCCACATATAATTTCATTTGTTTATAGGAAGTAGAATTCGAACCGGGCTGTCTTCCATGATGATATCTCTGTAGTAATACAGTCCACCGGCCGAGCCGTGCTGGTGGAGCTCGGAATTCAGATTTTCGAGCGAGAGAGAGAGAGGACAACACTCGCAATCTCCAACACTGCTGGCCAAAATAGAAAGCAACAGAGAAGTTTTAACGAAAAATCTGCAGTTCTATTCACTTTAACGAAAAATCATATTTTTAAAAAGTCAAATCTGGTACTATTCATTTTACCATTTATTTTGTCCTTATCGTTAAAACTCAAAGTTTTCAAACCCTTTTCATTAGTTTTCCTTTGTTTATATTGGGTCTTTTATAATCAAACGTTTCATCTGCCGACATAATCAAGAGCAATGCTAGTCATACTATTTTGCCATCTTAACTTCAGAGGCAATATATGTGTGAACTGCATGTTGCTTCTGTTTCTTATGGAAACACAAAATTTTTTGTAATCACATCTTTTGTAATCAAGAACGTTCAACTTCGTCCTGTTAATTGTACAATGTCTTTTCATATCAGCTATGTTGAATGTATACAAAAATCAGGATGCTTATGTTACTGACTCTTTTCACTCATCTATCCTTCTATTTGTTCATGATTATGTTTAATTTATTCAGGTTAAATGTTTCTTATTCATGCAGTTAAGGCTAGTGCATTCAAGTCCCGCAACAACGCGCGGGCATATTTTCTAGTGACCTCTATTACATGAAGAATTTCAATTATGATAATGTGTATGACAAAAAGGGTTATCAGACAAGACAGTGCATTATTGAGTAGATGCAACGAAAATATTATCCTATCATATCATAGGGCTGGTATCCGAGCACAGATGGCGGTGCACAGGCATATAACATAGTTTAGGTTTCTATTATTTTACCACCATTTTGGCTTTTCTAGTTGTGGACCTCCCTTTTCTATACCATTAGCTTCATGATTAATCATAAATCATTATTATGGTAACGGATCTATACTCTTAACTATTTATTTAAATTACAATTAATCCCCATAAATTTGCCTCAGTATGATTAATTAAGGGATTTAAACAAGGGAACTTTAACGAAAATCTTACGGTATTGTTCACTATATTTATGGGATCTAAAATTCCATATTCATGAGAGAAGTTTTTATTTTATTTTATTTTATCATTTATTATTATTTTATTTTTTGTTGAACGATAGATTTTGTTAGATTAGATGTTAGATTAGTTACCGTCGGGATTTGAACTCATATCGTCATACAAGGGCTCAACACCTCTCTATCACTATGGTAAAGAGCCACTCGCAATGCAACATGAGGACTTCTCAGGAGAACAAAAAATGAAGGATTGAAGTTGAAGGATGGCCGTTCCGATACAATGTAACGAAATAAAAAAGTGGAGATTTTCGTTTGCAACAGTAGTTCATATGATGAGTTCCTTAGCTTCTTTGAATGGAGAATTAGAGCACACAACTATTTACCCTGATCAACTCTCACTGTCACAGAATCAGAAAAGCAAGATATCTAGGACCCCGATGTGTAACCTAATGTATAAATATTTGCTGCCCTTTCATTTTTTATTTTACTTCTTGCCAACTGATAGAAACATATGAGTACAGAATCAGAAAAACAAGATATGCAGGACCCCCGATCTGTAGCACTAATCCCATACATTATGTAGTACTGTACTACTACCTAATAAGTACGAACTGACACCTCACTCACACAAAACTTATGATATTATTTAATGTGTTCGTTGTTATTTGGAACTTGAATGGATTATAGACCCTGCATTATCCGGCATCATCTTCCGTCAAAGTGGAAACTAGTACTACTTGACTAACAGAAAGAAACCAACTCAAAGTGGCACTGGGTCAATAAAAAGCGAAGCAACGACATCTTTCATAAGTTTCCCAACATGTGTTAAGCCGTCTCCTCTTTTGTAAAGCAGATCCACAACCCTTGTCAAATTAAGAACACGCATGAGCACAAACTCTGGCACTGCAGTTGGTCTAAGTAACTCCTCGTTTATATCCTCCCACATATCCACTATTTGTTTGTTAAACGCAGCAAGTGTCTCTTGCTCCGACACGTCATATTGCTTCATGTAACAATCAATACTAGAAGTTACATGCCGTCTCTCTTTCTCAAACTGCAAAAATTGACTCCCAAAGAGAATTTGCGTTACTTTTATATATGTAGCACCCAATATTCACTTTAATATAGTTCAATTTTTGAGCTTTAATAAAAAAGGCTTCACCAAATTTTTCTAACCAAAAAAACTACCTAATAACTTTCTTTAATGAAAAATCTTGAAATTTTATGAAAAGTACTTCAAATTTATTGAAAATGATAAAAACTTTAATATAGTAAAGAAAATAAAAAAGACAAAAATAAAAAAATAAAAAAATAAAAAAAACAAACAAACAAACACGCTGGTCCAATGCTTCTCACCACTCTCTCTCTTCCCCTCTCACACCCATCCTATTCAAACACACATTCTCTCTCATGTCACTCTACACTTGCTCCATAACCAATATATTTTTTTTAATTTTTTTAATTGTTTATTTGACCATTGTTTCATATTTTTTTTTTAAAACAAATCAAGTAATAATAATATAATATTACAATTTCAAAAATGAAGAAAAATTTTAGTTTCAGTTTTGTAAACAATATTTATTTTAAATCTGAAATAGTTATTTTAACATTAGTTTGGACAAATTTTTTGAGTTTATATCATGTAAAATGAATTAAAAATATAACCATACATAAAAGAAAGAGAGTGGAGGTGAAAGGGATGAGGAGAGATAGGGGAAAACTAATTTGTGTTTTTTTTATTAGGTGAATTCCCGATTTAATCCCTGAATTATCATCTCAGTGAATTAGGTCCTTGAATTAATTTTGGTAAAATACGTTCCTAAATTCATTAAAAATTGCTAATTTCATTCCAAATATTATATTCAAAACTATTTTATTTTTCGTCAACTTAAATCACTTAACACATTTTATAATGTAATACCATTATTTTCTCGCGTATAAGCCCTTAACATTTTATATAGGTTACAATCTAACATCTAATTAACTCCATACACTATTTCTCTATGAAAAATTATCAATCTACCCAACAATGTGTATCACATACAAGTAACGTGACTTAAATTGACGAAATTTTTTGTAGAGTAGCTTCGAATCTAATATTAAGGATGTAATTGGAAGAATTTTATAACTCAAGAACTGATGTTTCGGAAAAAATAGTTTAGAAGACCTTATTTACTCAAGTGAAAATTCATGGACTAAGTTGGCAGTTCATCACTTCATCTTATTTTATTATATTTTTTTGTCTTAACTATTAAATAAAATTATTAAATAGCTATTGGCTAAGATTTAAAGTTTTGAAACCCTTTTTATTAGTTTTTTTTTTTTGTCAAACACTTTAATATAATTTATATATTATTCAATGTACTGAGAATAATATCCTGTACCTTGTGGCCAGCAATGTCATCCATGAGCCTAAAAATGATATTGGAAGCTCTGAGAATTTTAGGGTTATTCGACAACCACTGGAACACGTCATTTGTTACAATATCTCCCATGCCAACTAAACATACAGTTGAAAGGAGGCTGTTACCAATAGAAGCCGTTGCAACATGCATATACTCCTCCATGCTTGGGATGCATTGTTCCCGTAACCATCTGGCCTCATCAAAGTGAGCATGGGCAAAAACTTTCCACTGTATGTGACAATGACATGTTTAGTGTGAAAACTTAACCTTCAATAGTTAAACTACTCTGAAAAAAAAAAAAGAACCAAGGAATCCTCAATAGTTTGAGTAGGGAAAAAAAAAAAAAAAAAAAGGTCTCGTTTAATACCCATAAATTGAAAACTCAACAAATAGCTTTCAATTTTTCATTTGTTTACTGAAAACTAAACTCTAAACCTAAACCTAAACCTAAACTAAACAAATTTTTTTTCAATTTTTAATTTTTTTTTAAAAAAGACGATAAGTAAAAATGAAATGATTATAACGCTTAAGCTACTAAAAAGTACAAGTTAATCAAGCTAGCTAAGCATGCATGTGTTACATACAGCTTCTTTTGCATAGCGAACCCGGTATGACTTTCCTTCTGTTACCATCTCTTCCTCAATTTCGTTGAAAAGATTCACAAGTGCAAGATAAAATGTTTGCATATAGTCCGGAAGTTCATCAATGAAATTAACATCCCACCTGAAATTTGCATAAACATTAGATCATCCTAAGCATAGCTTTAGGAAAAACGTAATCTGTATATAAAGCCACTTTGTTTAAATCAAACCTTCTAATTGCCTCTGTAAAGATGTCAAGTTCTTCGAATGTACCAAATGCGTCGTAGATATCGTCCATTACTGTCGCCAAAACCATGACTTTGGCCATACTTTTTCTGGCTGTAGAGTAATGGGGTTCAAAAAATACTCCCGTTGAACAAAAGTACAATTCAACTATCCTGTCTCTTGCAAACGGCAGCTTTCTTTCAAACTCGAGTTCTTTCCACCATCTAATTAATGAAAACATTTACAAATTGGATTATAACTCATAACTATAGGAATATTTTTCTTACAAACTATATCTGCTATGATCAAATTAAAAATAAAAATGGACTTATTACCTAGTAATTTCCCTGAGCTCCTTTTTGTGCAAAGATTGAACAAGATTGAAATCCAACTTTGCAAGTTGTAATAAAGCTTCACTGTGTGAAGCTTCTTCTTGATAGATTGACATGTAATTCCTGACACCTAACCTCACTAGACTCTTTAGCAAAGGTCTCTCCAAGGCTTGAGTTATTTGAGCTGCCATTGAACAGCTTAAACTGGTTGCAGTGGACTCGAGGTGAGTGGTGGTGAAAACAAGAGCCTCTTTTAGTATGTCTTCTCCATGCACCCTTAGATGTGTTGCTTCATAAAGGCTTAGCATACCCGGCACATCGGCAATTAAGCTTTCCTTGAAGCTACCATCTTCACCTTTGAACTTTTGGAATATATCTACTTGATTCCCAGAAAATGAAGACACATAAAAAAGAAAATAGAATAAAGCATCCAAAAATCTCTCATGCACATGACGTTCCTACAAATAAATTATTTAATTAATATATGCATATACGTGCAAGTGGTGGATTGCACCACTAGATGCAATCTTCCTCTCCAAAACCCACCTTTCCCTCTAGTGTGTAACTTACTAGTGCTTGTAATAAAGAAAACTATAAATCTACAAAATACGTACCACATGAAACATTAAATCCATGTTGCCTTAGTAGCCGAAAACGAAGAGCAACATTGGATAGATCACCACCATTATTAACGCCGTTGTCCTTATATGCAGCAATATGTATGCGTTCCAAAGCTTCTTTAATCTCTTTTTCAAAATGGTATGCCACGCCAAGACGTTGGATTGCATCAATTAAATTGAGTTGTTGAGAAAAGTCACCAGCTCCAGTTGCTAATATTTCATTACTCACTACTACTTTCAGTTCCCCAAGTTCCCGTTGCATTTGGCCATTGTTTGTCTACATCAACAATTTGTTAATTAAATGAACTAAAATATTGGAAAAAGTAGAAATTTTGACAGCGAGCAAAAGGCATGAGATTACAATGTCTTGTGAATTGTCGTAGACTGTGAACCGATCTCCCCAAATGCTTGGGTGAAAATTTGCAATAGGACGAGCAATTTCGAGCTTATTATCAGCTTGGGTAGCAGATACGGTCTTTATTCTTTTTTTTTCATAGAAAATATTTAGGTTGGGAAGTCGTACAGGCAAACCTAGAGAAGGGGAAGGATAGAGCGAAAAGCTAGAGTTGAAGTTTGACATTGATCTTGTTTTTAAAGAGTCCATTACGACTAAGCAGAATAATGAAAAAGGATCTTTTGGAATGCAGAAACTCTCGGGCAGCATCAACTCTTACTTATACTCGGGATCTTTTCGAATTTTATTTTATTTTATTTTTTTGGAAAGCCTCAATGGTAGAAGAGAAAATTTATTGATAACGACAAAAAAAGTTACATTTAGTCAGGAAGGACATAAAGACGAAAACAAAAATGATTAAAGAAAAAAGAGGAGGGAGGGACATGAAACATAACCTCTCTAAAACCAAACCTAAAGGTCTAAATTTACAAGACAAAACCACCAAGTTAAGGAAAAAAAAAAGTGAGACAAAAATGGATGCTGAGATGCATATTAATTTGAGAAGCGGTAGCCATGCAAGCCAACATAGTCCGAAAACAAAGCGGCACGAGCTACTGGTTGAGGATAATCATGCCATGTTAAAGTTGGAAAAGACATGCCCATGTTAGCAAAATTGGTTGCAACAAAATTTCCTTCGCGATATATATGTGGGGTGAGTGGAAAGTCATTTTCCAAATGCGTTACAAACAAAATAGACCATTGCGTACGAAAAGGCCAAGAAGGATCAAAATCAGACAATTGAAGAGTAGAAATAACACTAGAATTGTCACTTTCCAACGAAAGACAATGCCAACCTCGCATCTCGAACCAATAATACCTGATAATTTTGCAAAAAAAAAATAAAAATAAAAATAAAAAAAAGTTGCAATGACCAATCCATTGATAGAAACCACCAAAAAAACGACCATTGCAATTCCTGAAAACTCCTCCACAAGTACCAGGACCAGAATTTCCTTTAGAGAAACCATCCTCATTAAGTTTAATCCAAGAATTCCAAGGAGGAGACCAAAGGACATAAAGGATAGTAAGCGCCTTGCATGGGATAGGTCGGATCTTAAGAGAAGAAATGATCTAGTGTCAAAACCCTGAGAGTAACCAGGAATAAACTTCTCACCATGAACAATCGCATAATTGATAGACATGCAAAGACGATAAAAAAAAGATTGGTCGACCCTAAAAATTCATAGTAATTAATATACAAGTGTGAAAGTGTGAAAATGTGAAAATGTGAAAAAAAATAAAAATATACAAATGCTCGTGATTGCATCCAACTACGCTTAGACAATGGTTACATCGCTGTTTAGATTTTTAAAACCCTCCAATCTCATAATTGGTGTTTTTTTATTTATTTTTTATTTTTTTTATTACAAAACTAATAATAATTAATATAGAAGTGTGAAAAATGTAAATACACACACACAATTGCTCATAATGACATGCTTTGCAACTTTCATTAAGGGATGAACTCCAAAATTCGAAACCACAGTCCATAAACTCTAGGTTTATGTTTAATCGGTCAATTGTCGTTTACGCTATATTATTCTCACCAAATTTTGTTCATATTTTTTTTTTCCTTCTGAAAACATGATTTTTTTAGCGGATGCAGAAAATGAATGATTCAGATAGTTGCTATCACATTTTGTTGTTTATGATTAATTGAAATGATGGAATGGTATATAGTTTCTAGAAACTTTATAAACTTCAAGCAGTATTTTTACAAACCGTAAAAATCTGAATGTTATATCAACGATCTAAACTGTTAATATTTCTGCATCTGCTAAAGCATGTTTTTAAAAAAAAAAATCTGAAGAAAAAAAAACAAAATTTGGTGAAAAGAATGGAGTGTAAGCGTAAACGTAACGACAATCAACGGTTAAATTTAAATTTATGGTTCATTAGGCTCTTATTTTGAGGTATGTAATATTTGAAAGACAAATGTGTTTTTATATTTTGAAGTAATATTTATGTGACATTGTGAGATGTAGATACTAATTTAGTATTATGTTATCTATTTGATTATGTATTGAAGTAAAATATATTTTCATTAACGGATGATTTACGGGTCAAGTTCGGTCTAGATCATATTATCCATTTATTTTAACGAATGTTACAGGATACAATATTTTAAAATATTGAAAAAAACACAACACAAAAGTCGTATCTAGTTGGAAGCGACCAAATACAGCGCAAGAAAAGGACGGGGCTAAGCGAATGATTATGCACATAAAACGTAGGGACATGAAACGCCCTGTACAGGAGAAAAGATACGGCCCCCAAACAACAGACATGAGCATGACACGCATGGACGTGAAGGGCCCAGTAAAAGCTAAGGGGGCGGGAACCAAGCATATCATATGGACGTGAAGAGCCCAGTATAGACAATCATTAGTAAAAACAAAACATGAAATGTCTAAACTGATCATCAAGTTTGCAACTTGACATCACTCACATGTGGAGCGCTTATTGGCCTCCACATATAATTTCATTTGTTTATAAGAAGTTTTAACGAAAAATCCGCGGTACTGTTCACTTTAACAAAAAATCACATTTTTACACTAAAAAGTCAAATCTGGTACTATTCATTTTACCCTTTATTTTGTCCTTATCGTTAAAACTCAAAGTTTTCAAGCCATTTTCATTAGTTTTCTTTTGTTTATATTGGGTCTTTTATAATCAAACGTTTCATCTGCAGACATAATCAAGAGCAATGCTAGTCATATTATGTTTTTATACCACCTTAGGTGACATTTGATATAAACATCTACATTATTTTAATTAATCAGATTTTTAAATTTAGTTCATTATTTAATAAACTAATAATTAAGAAAAACTAATTAATTAAATGATGATTGTGGTATACGAGGAGTCTTTCTCCTTTCTTTCCTTGGGTTTTGCAATTTTTTCAAATGATGTGGTTGTCCACATCAGATGCCACTTAAGGTGGTATAAAAACATGATATGAATAACATTACTCTTTTATGAATATATCTATGTTGAAGGTAAATTGTCTTTGAGACAGTAGAGGTTAATTTCTAATCCCAAGCTGGTTTCCTAAGATGTGGTTAGCATGTCTTAGGTCTATAGTTGGAGTTTCTATTTGTTAATAGTATTAATCACACATTCAAGAAAGAATTGATTTTGCATATACTTACTATTTTCCATAATGTTAATTGATTTTACGGTAAAACTTTAATTTTCTTTATGGTATTAGAGCAAGTTCTTCCACGTGTGAAGCCTATAGGCCACATGTTCTCTAGGTCACCTGATTTGTGTTGTCTTAAGCCCAACGGCCATACAACTGTGACACCCTGCAATTTTTCATGAAGCCAACCGGTTTAAAAAATAATTATTTTTTGTCAAGGTTCTAAAAGGCACTAGGTGCGTGCAACGGGCATGGCCTAGCCAAATTGTTTTTGCCAACGTTTTCATAAGTAGACGACGAAGAAAATTACAGAAATTGAGACGGATGTATGACATTGAAATAAAATAATAAGTAAATCCATGATATTGAAATGTTTTAAGATGTTGCAATTAAACACAAACTTGAGGGTGCAAAATGTGATTTACCCAAACATGTTTTAGTTGTCAGCACAAATGTAGAACCCACTATTTCCATGTCATCACTTAACAGATTTTAAGGGTAAATTACACAAAACTACCTCAACCATGGGTTGAATCACAATCTCATACCTCATGTTTTAAAAATACAGTGTCATACATTATCTTACAAATTTGTCACAATCTCATACCTCATGTCTATTAAATTATGGTATGGCTTGAGACGGGACCTACTCCCTCGCCCAACTGGATAAAAATATAAATTAATTATTAAAAAATCTAAGATAAAACTTAATTAAATATTTTATTAAAAAGTGGGACCCACTCCCTACCAACACCCTCAACCTTCTTCTTCCTCAATTCCTTCCTTTCTATCTCTCTGTAAATTTTTGGTCAAACAAAAATGGTGGGCATGAACACGCAAATTCAGCTCCAAGCTTTTAAGACTCTGTCATCCTAACTCATCATTGTATGCTTCCTCTACCTAGCTCACCGCTCAACACCTCCAAACCCCTAACATCCCTAACCACTTCACTCCCTTCTCCAATGGCACTTTCTCCCCAAATCCTTTCAAATCTTCATTTAACTCCCTCCTCCAATGGCACTTTCTCCCCAAATCCTTTCAAATCTTCATTTAACCCCACCACCATTACCGAACACTCCATAAAATCATCAAAGTCAAAACCCATAAACCATAATCTCACTTGGGTATCCAATTCAAATCCTGAATTAAAAAAAAAAAAAAAATCTTAGTACCCAAGTCAAAAACCCAAATTTCGTCCTTGGAGGAGAGTGGGGTCATCGTGGAAAGGCGGCGTGTGTGGTGGGTGAGGGCTGCGTGGCGAAGGTGAGATAGAATAAACATGGCTTCTAAAGAAAGAAATGGGGGCTGGCTTTAGGGTTTTGCAGAGGGGCAGAAGTCTTATCTCGGGGACGAGAGGACAGATGAACTAGGTAAGAAGAAAGGTAAGGTCGGAGGCGTGAGGTAGGGGTGGGTCCCCTTTTTTTAATAAAATATTTAATTAACTTCATCTTTAATTAACTAGCCGTCGGAATTAATTCATTTCGATGCATAGGACTTGTTGTTAGTAGTTAGTTTTTTTATCGGAAATGAGTTTTCAAAATGGCAAACTTATTTTATTTTCGACATGAAAATGTGGTCATAAATAATTATCAGTGTTCTAAAAATCGGCCTAGGCGCTGAGCGGTGGCCAACCATCTGGATTAATGCAAAATCGAGAGCAAAATCGGGTTAAGTATTAGGTGGGCACCGAGGCGGCCAGAGCGGCCCTTAGGTGGCCTAGGTAGGCGATTGGGTGGCCTAGGCAGTGTGGGAATTTCAATTTTTTCTGTGTTCAAACTTGAGAAAGGATGAATGCTTCTGGTATGTATTCTAGTTTTTCTGGACTTCATGCTTCTGGTCTGTGTTCTTGTGAAGAGGAAGAAGATGAGAGAAAATTAGTTTCTATCTCTTCCCTCCACACCCACATGATCACTTTTAAACTATTTAATTTTTTATTTATTTGTTTCTGTCCATTCATATTTAGATAGCTAGCATCTTGACTTTTCTTAAAGTAAAAAGGTTGTCAGTCCATTCAAGTGCTATCAATTTTTTTCTCATTAAAAAAACATAGATTGTCAAGTTATCAATTCATAGCATCAAGTGCTATTGATTTTTTGGACTTGTTAGATGCCCATTTTATTATTCTTTTACTATCTTATTCAGGGATTTCATACAAGCATAATTTTTTGTAAGTGTCAGTATACACTTATTTACAAGATATACAATAAATTTATCTAAATCCGTCTAGGCCGCCTAGGCGCTAGGCACCAGCCCGCCTCTCGACTAGCGCCTAGCGTTTTTTAGAATTTTGATAATTATAGAGTTGTCGAAATTACTTTTCAAACAATGACAAATATTTTTTTACAATGACTTTTTTTTCCGACCAAACAATTATGTCAAAAAATCTTTTTCCAACAAAATAATTTTTATTTACAAGAGTTCACAATCATCGTAATTACAATTACTGACCATACGAGATTGTCGAAAATACGTAATGGCTTGACAGAAATAGGCATAAAAACATATTTGCGATGATCAAGCGTTGTCGAAAATATGTACTTCCAATGGTGAAGCTTTGTTCGTAATACATATTTGCAATGGCAAGCTTTGTCAGGAATATATATATTTTCGACAAAGAAGCCTTGTCGAAAATATATATTTGCAATGGTGAAGTTTCGTCGGCAATATATATTTTTGACGGTGAAGCTTTGTTGAAAATATATATTATTGACTATATTTAGTCGTCACAAATTTTTTCGTAACCAATATTTGGTTGAAAATGGGTATTTCCTAGAGGAACGTTTTTGTTAGAAATATGCACATTAACAAAAGGAATTTACAATCCAAAAAGTTATTATTCTATTTATAATTAAATTATATATTGAAATTAAAATATGATAAAAATAGGTATGTAATCGTTACAAATAAATTAACCAAACCATTGTATTAAATTTCTCAACATCCAAACGAAATTATTCATAAAATTATTTAAAAAAGAAAATAGACAATACTTAAATTGGAAAAAAAAATACACAATACCCCACGAATAAAACTTAACAAGTTCAGATAATTGGTAATATCAAAATGAAAGTATGATGCACTACTGATCTTCAAGTTGAGCATCTGACCAACTTTCAACATTCTCCTGTCAAACAAACAATAAAGAGAGTACTTAAGTAAATAAATAATATATTATTCAACAGTAAGACAAATAATAAATATGAAATAAAACAATTTTACCATACAAGCAGATGGTCCTAAGCGCGCATAATTATTTGAGTTGTTTGGCATCAGTCTTTCAACTAATTCTTGCAAAGAATTCAACTTATTTGTTAAAGTGTTGACTTGGTCCTTCAATTGCTCATGGCTTTCTTCACGTTCTAAGCATATACGTTTATTACAACTTTGTCTATTTAAGGGACATGCATCTTTAGATCCCCGCACTGCCCAGTCTGAAACTGAGGTGCGACGAATTATAAATCTTTAGAGCATTACTCAGAGCATGCCGGATGCTTTTACTGATCTAGCAAAGGTGACAAGATCACATATACCTGCTACAAACACACTAGAAAGGATAGACATACCCCACAATACCACCTGGGAAGGCCGAACCTTCCCCGAAAGTGGGGAAACCACAACTTCCATACGGCCCAATACATTGGCAGCTAGCCAATCATTTGCTTCGACCCTAAAGCATGACAGACCCTCTGGTTCAAAGGGTTCATAACCTCGGAAGAGGAAAATGACACCAACTGACCCCAGTTTGAATTCGACCATTGTTCACTTATCTGTTCCAATGCATAAGGTTATTCTAGATTAAGGTGATGTCTTAGATGAGACAACTCGACCTCCCAAGAATTGCGAGATTTCGGTCCACTACGCAGTATTGGCTGAGGTTTGGAATCAAAATGAGATGATCGTCGACGATGCATTTGCTTACACAGTAGCTACTGACATCATGTTTAACGATGACATTGAACCATATTTCGTTGATGAATACCAACGTAGAATGGATTGGTCAAACTGGAAACAAGTAATACAGGTCAAACTCGATTCGCTTGCGAAACTTAAGGTGTTTGGACCTATAGCTCTTACTCCACCACATGTGAAGCCTGTAGGTTACAAGTGGGTTTTCGTAAGGAAGCATAATGAGAAGAATGAAATAGTGCGATACAAAGCACGCCTCGTAGAGCAAGACTTCTTTTAGTGCCCTGGGATTGATTATGAGAAGACGTATTCCTTTGTAATGGATGTCATAACATTCCTCTACCTAATCAGTTTGGTAGTTTTTGACAAACTAAATATGCAACTTATGGACGTGGTAACCGTGTATCTCTATGGGGATCTAGATACGAAAATCTACATGAAAGTTCTAGAAGGACTTCCATTAACTGGTTCAAATAGTTCTAGATCACGAAATACTCTCTCAATTAGATTGAGGAGATCACTCTACAGATTGAAACAATCCGGATGGATGTGGTATAACCGCTTGAGTAAATATTTGACAAGTCAGGGTTATATGAACATGAAATTATGCCTATGCGTGTTCATAAAGAAGTCACATTCCGGATTTGCGATCATTACAGTTTATGTCGACGACATGAACCTCATCAGAACACCTGTAGAGCTTGAGGAAATTGCAGTTTTAATGAGGATAAAGCGAAGCCTTCGAGTATAAAGTGAAGCGTTCGAGTACTCCTTTGGTCGTTCAAACTCTAGATACTACACGAGATCCTTTCTGTCCAAAGGAGGATGAGGAAGAGATTTTGGAACCCGAAGTTCCATACCTATGTGCAATTGGTGCTTTATTGTACTTGGCTCAATACACTAGACCCGACATCTTCTTCGCTGTTAATCTTTTGGCTAGGTACAGCAATGCGACCACACACATACATTGGAATGGTGTTAAAGACATTTTCCGCTACCTTAAGGGTACGACGGATTTGGGCTTGTTCTACACCCACGAATCCTCGAGAGTAGCCGCCGCCCACCTTGGTTCTCAGGTTGATTCCCGCCTCGTTGGTTATGCAGATGCTGGATATCTGTCTGACCCACATATGGCAAGTTCTCAAACGAGCTATGTCCTTACTGTTGGAGACTCCGCTATATCTTTGAGGTCTAACAAGAAAACGCTAGTTGCGACTTCTTCGAACCATACTGAGATTATCGCCCTGCATGAAGCATCGCATGAGTGCTTTTGGTTGAGGGCAGTTATGGAACATATTTGAAGCACTAGTGGTCTTACATCCGTCGTTGACCTTCCCACGACGATCTTTGAAGACAATGCAGCATTTATTGAGCAGTTAAAGAAGGGATACATCAAGGGAGACAACACCAAGCACATAGCACCGAAGTTCTTTGTATTCTCACCAACAACAACAACATTAGAACATTGAAGTCAAGCAAATCCGTTCTCAGGACAACCTGGCCGATCTCTTTACCAAGTCATTGCCCAAGTCTACTTTTCAGAAGCTCGTCCAAGGAATCGGCATGCGTAAATTATCTGAGTTGAATCGTTTGTAGTTCTCTTATTTGGAAGTTATGTCTAACTCAGGGGGAGTATCCAGAAGCATACTCACTTGATCTTAATGTACTCTTTTTCCTACGATTAGGAGTATATTTCTCACCGGATTTTTGCTACCTAATAAGGTTTTAACGAGGCACCCATCCTGGGATGATCATAGTCTTTGAGTTCACTATTTTCTTCTTGTTTGACGTTTGTTTTACACATTATGCATACTTCTCACTTTTCTCCTTAGTCTGAGTTTTTCTCCCACCTTGGGTTATACCATAGCAAGACTTTGTGAGTTTTACTACTAATGCATACTTTCTTTTAAATTTGAGACTTGCATTTACCCATTGTGCCGCCGACTTCATTAATTGTTCTAACTTATCTGTTGAAGATCTGATGCGATGTTTTGTTTGAGTATTTACACATTTAAGGGGAGTGTTGCAGTCATATTTAGAATATGAATGTGATTGTGTAAATCCTAGTGTATCTAAAGATATCTTTGAATATTTCCTTTAGTAGTTAATATTCTATTAAAGTTGTAATTCTAAAGGGTAAGGATTTAACCTATCCTACTATTATAAATAAAGGCACAATAGGACGATACAACATACACCTGACAATTAAATCTCTCCTCTCTCTTATTGCCGCAGGTCTCCCCCTCTCTATTTATTTAGAATAGTTCAGTTAAATAGATTTATAACAAAAAAAACATTTTTTCTAAAAGTACTTTAAAAACGAAATCATTTTATAAGAAACACTTCAAGTAATCTAGAAGTCTAAAATATTTTCTTTAAAAGCTCAATCATTTTAAATGGAAGTCCAAACCAGTGATCGATCAAAACAACTGAACTGAATCACCCGAGATAAAAGGGCAAGTATGTGTCAACTGTCAATTGCATTTCTGTATTTTTGTTTCCCAGTAATTCCATAGGGACAATAACAATCACCGAAAATAAAAATACAAAAAACCCAAATCAGAAATCAGTATTTATGTCTAAAAGAATAAAAACCCAAAATCAATAACAATGTTTAAACTCCTGTTGAAGAGCGTCTTCAAGCCAGAGTTTGGACTCGTCCATAAGCTCAGGACTCAATCTAAACATGAGAACGCAGAACTCCATCTGATTGAGAGCGCCATCGCCGTCGAAATCACCTTCGTCCAACATGGACCGTAGATCGTCGTCGCTCAGATCCTGCAACCCCAGAAGAGCAGAGTTCCTCTTGAGACTCTCGAAGGTGATGACCCCCTTGTTGGAATCCATTAACAAATTGAATCCATTACAGAGCTCGCCTATTAAACCGTCCCCACCAAGCTTGTCGGCCATGGTGGGTAACAAATCTTGGAAACTGGATTGTGGGGTTTGCTGGGAAGCCATTGACAATTTGGAGGAGAGAGAGAGAGAGAGAGAGAGAGAGAGATGATGATGAGTGATTGAGTGAAAGGGTATGTTTGTTGGTGGGGAAAGAGAGAAGTGGGAGAGTATATAAAGGAAGAGGATGGGGGTGGCAGGGTTTTCCAAGAAAGAGAGGCCATGGGAGACAACTCAGGTACAGATAATGGGGAGGCGGTCTGTTTTGTTGAAGCTGTCATTGGGTTTCTGAGAAGGTGATGAGGAGGGGTAGGATTGCCAAAGCGCGTTTAAGGAGCGGATGAGTGGACTGGTGGTCTTTGGTCAAGAGGAGGTGGTCAAGGATAAATGTGTCATTTCGAATGCAGGTGTCTTTATCTCCATCCTCTTTCTCACTGAATACCCTTGCGGATGTTGCCGACGAAATCTTAATATCCTAATTGATAGGATCTTGCATTTCCATTCATGCGCTCTCTGTTTAAACTCCCATCCTTCGTAATAGTTTTAAATTCTTTCTTTTTTTACTTCCTCTCATGTAGTAAAAATTAAATTTTATATATATATAGTCCCAACAATTAATCATAAAATTAGAAACCTCGGATATTGCATATACCAAGATGGAAGGGTTTGAGTGAACCATTTGATTAAGGGTAGTGACTTTCATACTTCCAGTTTATTTTCATCACTGTTTTAAAAATCTCAGCCAACGCTAGGCTGCTGGTCACAGCCCCAATTAGTTCATAGGAGTTCGAAAATTAAAAAAGTACACCTAGACCTACTTAGGAATCCGCCTAGCTTACCTAGGCGCTTGCCTAGTCTATCCAAACTTGTTTAGGCACCCAGCTAGATAGCAACTCTCACTTAGACAAAAAATCAATAACTTTCATTTTGCACTTTAATTTTTCAATCAATGTAAGAGGATTGTTGAATAATTGGATGAACATTTATTATATGATTGTTCCCTACTGTTTTCAACAAGTTCTAATATTTTATAACCTATATGTCATTTTATTTTGCAATTTATGTATCTCATTACAATTATGTGTGTTTTTTAAAGTATAAATAAACACTTATTTATACAATAATATAATAAATTTACTTAAATCCGCCTAGTCCGCCTAAGCCCCGCCTAGCCGCCTAGGCGCAAGGCCCCAACCTACCGCCCAACTAACATCTAGAGTCTTTTAAAACCTGGATTCTCATAAGTCATAGCACTCCTCTCTTGTTTTGGTCTAGCTTCTTTCTTTTTTCATTCAATCCTAAAAGCAAGTCCACCCCTAAAAAAATGCGCCAACACCCAGCCTATTTAATCCACTCAGTGAACAGTGATAGACGCCAATAAATAGTAATAGGTCAAATGCATCTCCACCCTTAACAAAAAATAGCCTAGTCAATTTTATTAAAATATTATTTTATTATTATAAAATAATAAAAAAGTAATAATTTTATTTTTAATTTCTGACTATATAAAAAAATATTATTAATTTTTATATTTTTATTAAGTTTTTTGGCCAAAAAAGCTGGGCCATTGATCTAAAAATCGAACGGTCCTCATTGTGCCACCTTAGTACCCATTAATTTTAAATTTCAAATTTTTTTTACCATTGGAAGTCCAACGGCCCCAAAAAACTAGCCGTTGGAAATCCAACGACTTAGAAACGAGCATGTGGCCTCCATCTAATCATCTCAGTGTGCCTGCGCTGGCGGGCCACCCCTACTTTTTGTTGTTGGGACGCAGGGCCACGCACGCGTGTATCGCACGTGCCTAGTGCAAAAAAAATTCAAATGCCCTCCAATACCACGCTGGCATCAGATAAGCCGGTCCATGGCTTTGTAGACTGGAGTGGATTGGCTGGGTGCCGGCCTAAAGAGTCCCCGATGGAATTGCCCTAAAGGTTAAAGAAACTAAAAAAGTGCAAAAGGAAAAAATGAAAAGTGAAAACCAATTGATCAAATTTTTATTTTTAAAAAGTATGTTAAAGCCCAAGCCCACTCCAAGTCAAGAGCTGGACTTTCCTTACACCAGCCTCTTGCACTCCCATATAATTCCCCAAGACGAACAAGCAGGCACCTCCTGCTTATTGCATCACTACGGACTCTTGATTAGATGTGTTTGTAAAAGAAATTCACCCGTACTTCATGTTTTGAAAATTTAAAAGAAACAATGAAAACTCTGCTGCATTTTTATAGAAAAAAATGGGTTCACACTTCACATGCTAAATCATGTCTCCGTCCTTGATGACGGCTTACTGATCATCCAGACCACCATATTATTATCTTCTTAGTTGACGGTCCTTTGTGGCTTATGGATGTATTGCTAAGGATTTTGTTAGTTGTTTAACATTGGTACAGTGAAATGATGCTATATTTATGGCTAGAGCATTTTCAATGGAGTAGGCAATTGAGTAGTCAAATTCATTTTCATGAACCATGCAGAACTTGGGAAACAATTTTCCTTTCTTTCCAAGGTGAAAAAAAAATAAAATTTCTCTCTATTTAAGGTCCACACCACTTACAAAATTTATTTTAGAAAACTAGATTTTAATCCCTAAATAAGATGAAATTTAGAAAAATATCTTATACGAGATTCAAATTTGATTTTAGTCCCTAGACTCTATTTAATGTCATCACATGTATTCAATGTCTCTTTTTTTATTTATAATTTTATGAATTTAAATTTTATGAAAATATTATAAATTTTAATTCTCATTATGATAAGCATCTTATATAAGAAAATATTTTCGAAGAGATTTTTTGGTACATTTATGTTTTTGCATATTTTCTTATCTGCCACTAATTCATTACAATATATTTAAGTACGAACATTTCAGTACACTGGGTTAGTATAATATGTTTAGGTACCGACATTTCCATACACTGGGTCAGTATAATATGTTTAGGTACAGACATTTCGGTACACTAGGTTAATATAATATGTTTAGGTACGGACATTTCGGTACACTAGGTTAATATCATATAGTTAGGTACGAATTTTTCGTACACTTATGTTTTTACATATTTTCTTATGTGTCATTAATTCACTACAATATATTTAGGTACGGACATTTTGGTACACTAATTTAGTAAAATATATTATGATACGAATGTTTAGGTACACTAATTAGAGAAAGTTAAATAAAATTAATGAATTAAAATGTGTATAATAAATAAATTTAAAATTTAATGTAATAACCTTAAATAAGTTATCTATTAAATATAAAAACAAAAATATAATATGAATTTGAATTAAGTACACATTAAGGGACTAAAATCAATATTCAATCTAACACTAGGTTTTTATTAAATTTTAATCTTCTCGAAGGATTAAAGTTCAAAAACCCCAATTTATTTTCATTGGCTTCTCCTTAAAACTATAAAAAAAATTTCATTGACTCAGTCTTAATGTTGAAAATATTTTGCAACTTTGAACAAATTATCCGTTGGAAAATTCGTTATTATTTTATTATTGTTTATGGTTTTCTTGTGGGCCAAGCATATTAGAGTTTCTTGCCCATTAAGGATTAGGGTTTTGCTTTCGTTTTCACTATATATAGTAGTGATTGTATTAGTTTATTTTATCAAGTCAGTCAAAATGTAGTCTCTTTGGTTTATGTACCCTCCTCGGCAATTCCATTTAATAAAGTTTTATATTCAATTTGTTTGTTTGTTTGTTGCGTACTTTGATATTCAACTTGGTATCAGAGCAGGTTTGATCCTTCGGGATTTAATCGGTTTCTGTTTTATTCGTATCAATTTGTCTATCTCGTTGTTTGTTTTGGTTTGGGTTAACCTTTGTTTGTCGTTTAAAAAAAAAAAAAAAAAAAAAAAAGAATATGTTGAACTTTGGAGCCGGAGTCGCGCCAAGCCACTAGCCCGCCGCTGCCCCTGCTATTGTCCACCGATGTGCTTGTTCCAATTCCCTTCCCAACAATCTGATCACCGGCTCCGTGATCAGACAAATTCACCACCATCTCATACCTTTCTTGAACGTCCTGACGAACCTATATCTTGAGTTCTCCTCATGCGCCTCCATCCAGAAGCCCACATTTGAATATGTTGGTCAACCCATTCAATTTGCCGTTGTTGTACCCTCTGCCTTAGAACCATTCTCTTGCTGCTGTTTGTTCGCACGGAAGAGGGGGGAAAAAAAAAAAAGGAAGAAGGAAGGAAAAAAAACAATATGCCTGTTGTGTTTTGAGGTTTTGGGGCCCATGTGATGCTGCTATTGGGCTTGTTTATGTAGCTTGTTGTTGCCTTCTACAATGATCGTTCGAGTGCTTGGACTGATGACCATTCGAGTGGCATTGTGTACTTGGTTATTAATTGGATCTTCAACCAGAATCTACTTGCTTGCTTGTTCACTTGGATTGTTTGTTTGGTCGCTTGATTGCCCGCTTACCTTGTTGTGTCCGCTTAACGAAACTTGCCTTGTGTCCACCTAATGGAGCTTACCTTGTCGTGTCTGCCTAATGGAGCTTGTCTTGTCTTGTTCACCTAACGGAGCTTACCTTGTCGTGTCCGCCTAACGGAGCTTGTCTTGTCTTGTTCGCCTAACGGAGCTTGCACCCTCATCTGCTTGTTGGCAAACTCATGACATGTACCGTCATGAGTTTGACCGGGGGGGGGGGGAGGGGGTTGGAAAATTAATTATTATTTTATTATTGTTTATGGTTTTCTTGTGGGCCAAGGATATTAGAGTTTCTTACCCGTTAAGGATTAGGGTTTTGCTTTAGTTTTCAGTATATATAGTAATGATTGTACAGCCCCTTAAGGGAAAGGATCCCCATTTTTCAAAAAAAGTGGGGACACCCTCTTGACCATTAGATTTGACTTTAATGAAATTTTGTGGCTGAGATTAAATTACAGGTCACAGAATCTCAACCACATAATTTCATTAAAGTCAAATCTAACGGTTAAGAGGATGTCCCCATTTTTAAAAAAAAATGGGGATCCCTTCCTCTAAAGGTTTCCAGTGATTGTATTAGTTTATTTAATCAAGTCAGTCAAGATGTAGTCTCTTCGGTTCATGTAGCCTTCTTGGCAATTCTATTTAATAAAGTTTTATATTCAGTTTGTTTGTTTGTTTGTTGCGTACTTTGATATTCAACTTTATCACTTGTTTACTTTAGGCCTCGATGCCTAATGACTGAGATATTGGACTCCAATGCATAAGAGAGCTCCATTATGCTTATCTAATGTTGATCTTATGGGTTAGTAGAGCTGGAGTCTAGTAGCGTTCTATTATACTTGTAAGTGAAAGTTTTCAAATTCGATTGACATGAACGACGCATTTGATTATCCTAACTTGAAAGAAGTCAGCTAATGAACATAGCCACGACTATCTTCTGTGAACTGGCACAAAATATACTTGGTCCAACATCGATTGGTTATGGATTTTTTTTTTAAGTCCCAATGCTAGTTGGGATGAAATAATAGGGGAAAGAAAAAGGCAGATCGTGTAGGCTGGTTGGGATGTCATTTCGTGTCTTCATTTATGCAGTCAAACACTCTCAACTGATAAATTAATCCAGTTTTCTCTGCGTATGGAGATTGACTAGCTACGATTTCTGTTCAATGTTCACACAAGTGAAGGTGGCTTTTGGATCAGAAATTATTTTCGAACTAATCAGAAAACATGGAGATTGACTACCTAGTATTTCTGTTTAATGTTTTCTTTTTCTATTTTTTTGTTGGAAATGTTTTATTTTTCTTTAAAGTGAGTTGTAATGCTTTAAAATCAAGGTTCTAAAAAATGTTAGGCACTAGTCTGGCAGCAAGCTGGACTTAGCGCCTAGGCGGGGCCTAGGCGGATTTACATAAATTTATAATATATTATAAAATATGAGTATATGTGTACAATTTGAGAACTTTTTTTTTTTTTTGTCAATTTTGTAACATTTACTAACCCCATATATATTAATCATAGTTGGACTTTGTTTTTAATTAGAAAAACAATTGGACCAAGTTTGCCTCATTAAAAATATATTTATTTTAGTCATAAAAAATCACACACGTGGCAAAGTCAAACAAAAATTCCTCTTCCTACATAAATTTTCACTTTTCCCGTGAGCCCATGACACAAAAACCCAAAACCGCTCTCTTTCCTCTCTCTCGATCCCTCTCTTTTTCTAGAAATCTGTAGCAAGCAACCATAGTTTCCGATGCAGGTGCAGATGCCAAATGTGAGGTGTGAGCTGCGATGTAGGTGTTGGAAACTTGGAGTTGCAAATGCTATAAGAGTTTGAGGCAAGAGAGTTGCAGTCTTGCAGAGCCTTCGATGGTGGCGAGAGTTGCAGAGCACCTTGTGCGATGGCAAGAATTTCAGACCACCTAGAGCGCCTAGCGAGTGCCTAGGCGGCCGCCTAAGCCCCCACCGATTTTTCAAACGATTTTCCCCAAATCGCAACGGTCTTCCACCGCCGAACGCCTAGGTGCCGCCTTGAGCGTTTTTTAGAACACTATTTCAAACAGTTTTTATCATCATCATCATCATCATCATCATCATCATTATTTACACTTGGCAGTGATATGGCAATAAGCAGGGCCATTTTAAACATAAATAAAAATGATATGGCACTATGATATTTTTTTAAAGTTTTTCTCCCTACCCGATATACCAAATTTTAAATATAAATAAAAATTCATATTTATTTTCTTTGCATTGAGTATGAAAGAAAATGAATTAAAAGGTATAAAAATATTTAAATATTGCATTGGTAATGAAAAGAAACTAAAGGGCAATGCTTTAACCAATAAAAATTAATTAAAAGCATTTAATAATTAATTACAAAAATTTGAAGGTGCTGTCAAATTTGGTAGCAAGGGGGAGATATGTCATTCCATGTTATGCCACATTAGATTTGGCTTCTCGGTTGAAAAATGTTACTGCTGTTTTTTTTTATATTTTTTTTATTACCATTATTGTTGATTGGACATTTTGACATCTCATGTAGAGATGCTCGTAGGGATTTAATAGATATTTTAACGAAATTAACATAAAATGGCCAAGTGAATAAAAAATTAAGTTTCAGAGGATAAAGCGACGCAATTTAAGTTTCAGGCCCGGGGAGGTGGGGAGTGAAATTGAAGTTGAGTTCCAATAGGTATTACAAAAAATAAGCCTATATTGAATATGATATGGTCCCCATGAGGCCAATCTCTTGGTCTCTCTTAGGTCGTGTTTATGCATCAGTAATGAGAATGAAAATAAGGAGTTTAGTTCCAATTACGGTGTTTACTAAGATATGAATTGGGGCCCACATGAAAAATGGAATTCAACTCCTTTTGGAGGAATTGGATTCCTTGGTGAGAGATGAGAATTGTATTCTAAGAGAAACACTCTAAACTGATAAATCAGATCGTGTAGGCTGGTTGGGATGTCATTTCGTATCTTCATGTGTGCGGTCAAACACTCTAAACTGATAAATCAATCGAGTTTTCTCTCCACATCGAGATTAACTAGCTACCATTTCTGTTCAATGTTCACACAAGTGAAGGTGGCTTTTGGATCAGAAATTATCTTCGAACTAGTCAGAAAACATGGAGATTGACTAGCTAGCATTTATGTTTAATGTTTTCTTTTTCTATTTTTGGTTGGAAATGTTTTATTTTTCTTTAAATTGACTTTTTAGATTAATGGTAGGAATACTAAATTTACGACTAAATATTATAAGCTAAATAACATGTAAGTTGATAATTGGATTATTAGTTAAGTGTTAATTAACGTGCTTATTTGTTATCATTGACGCATCATTTAGTCTGGAAATTTAATCTACAAATCTAATTTACCATTACCCAACTTTTTCATGCATTAAAATAGTTTTATTATTATTATTATTATTTGGCAATGATATGGCAATAAGTAGAGCCATGTAATACCTAAAATACTTTTTCATGCATTGAGTTCCAATTAATGGTGGTTGTTTACGATGGTTGTGCGTTATTCTGGAAATAATAATTAATTTGAAAATACATTAGATGTTTTTTTTGTACATTTCTCAATCTACCACCCCATGTATTGAAGTCAATATCTCTCTCCTTTAGTGTAAAAATATGCGTAGTATCCGCTATGTCAAAATATGTGAAAATGGGACTAATGAATCCATATATATATATATATATTAATTATCCAGCTACCACCGTGGTAATGGTAATTAAGCTTCCCGTCTGATTTATACCGTCGTTGATTAAGGTATGGATGTCCTCAGAGCTTCTTTCTGTAAAGAAACCAGGCCCCTTCGGATGAGGCAATGTCGTACCCTCATTGCCCAACATGAACACCACCGATGACATTGCCGGTCTGTCTAGCATTTGAACACATAATAGACCTACTTGAATGCATCTTTGCACCTCAAACTCGACGTATGAGTACTCTAAGCATTGATCTATTAGTTCCGAACACTTGCTTTCGTTCCATAGTAGCCATGCCTGGTTTCAGTTACAAAATTATATATCTTCATGTTGGAAAATATTAGTATTTTAGGTATTATATTGTTTGGGTTTTCTATAAGTTTAGTTTGAGCCTAGCCTGTTAGAATTAGGATTAGGTTTGTTCATTATAAATATAATACTTCGTATCTCTGAAGAATAAGTTAGACATAATGTAGTCTCTTGGGTTATAAAGTCGTCATGCCAATATTTATTTACGTTAATAAAATCATATTAGTTTATAGTTACTTTGTTCGTTTGTTAGTTGCACACTTTCATATTCATCTTTGTATCAGAGCAAGTTTCATCCTTCGAGATTTAATCTACTTATGTTCTTATTGTCTGTTTATTGTTTAAAAATAATAATAATATTGTGATGTCCGACGTGCCGCCGTAGCCTCGTCGCACCGGAGCTGACACCTAAAGTCTGAAGATTGACCACCCTGCGCTTGCATCTTCCCTGAATTGAACCCCTCTGCTTGAAGAAACTATTGTTGCTCCTGCACCCATCATCCATGTCACACCGGAGAAGAAGGAATTGATTTAGAAATAAAAAAGAAGAAATAGAAAATATAAAATAGGAAAAGAAAACAGAAAAATAGAAAAGAAAAAAATTGGGTTTGGAGCCCACGATCTGTTGGGGTGTTGTGATTCGTTTGAAGGCTTTTTTGGGCCTTGTTGATTGAAGCTACTATTGGGCTTGGTTGGTTTTGAGGCCCACACGAGTTGTTGGCCTATTTGGAATTGTTTTGTAACCGTCACTCGAGTGCTTGGACCTGTGACCACTTGAGTGATAGGACTTTGTTTTTGTTCGTTCGTTGCTAGAATTGAGATATGGAAATCTCGTCTGTTTAGTGACGGGCTCTTTCCAAACTCTCAACACTAACCAGTGTGAATCAGAATCAGTTTGCCAGCCTGAATCTGAACTAGTTCACTAGTTCGCTAGTTCAGTCAAGTTAAGTCAGGCCCAGTCAAGTCAAGTTTGCATGCCCGCCATTCCGCCTAACAAAGTTAATTCGCATCTGCTTGTTTGCAAACCTATGTCGTATACCACCATGAGTTTGACAGAGGGTGTTGGAAAATATTAGTATTTTAGGTATTATATTGTTTGGGTTTTCTTATAAGTTTAGTTTGGGCCTAGCCTATTAGTATTAGGGTTAGGTTTGTTCTTTATAAATATAATGTTTCATATTTCTGAAGAATTAAGTTAGACACAATGTAGTCTTTTGGGTTATGGAGTCATCATGCCAATCTTTCTTTACATTAATAAGATCATATTAGTTTATAGTTACTTTGTTCGTTTGTTAATTGTCCACTTTGATATTCAATACACATGGAAAACTTTAGTGTGTACAGGCTCAACATTTGGAAAATACACATTAGCATGTAATGCTTACATGTCCAAGAAGACTATGATTGTGATATGGATGGTGAAACCTTCTGTTATTTCTGCCACTTATTATCTCCAACAAAAGAACACCAAAACTGAAGACATCAGATTTCACTGAAAACTTCCCGTCAATTGTGTACTCATGAGACATATATTCGCTGCACGTAAACAACACAAATCAGAAGTTTATAACTAGAAATAAAGAAATTCATGACATGTGTTGGTATAATTCACTATGTCCCAATTATGCGTTTTGTTTTTGCTTCAGTTTGCTTGCATCCGAAAATCCTTGCTATGCCAAAGTCAGATATTTTGGGGTACAACTCATTGTCAAGTAAGATATTGCTGCTCTTAAGGTCACTATGAATGATTCTTAGTCTGGAATCTTGGGGGAGGTAGAGAAGTCCTCGTGCGATTCCCGTGGTAACGTCTAATCGCTTTTCCCAGTTTAAGAACACCTTTCTATTTTGATCTGCAAAAGTCATCCACCATATTTAATCAATTTGGATGACACAAACAGAGCTTCATCGGACTCATTTAATCTTAAATTGAACTGAATAAATATTAACAAGGAAGATGAAGGGCAGAATCGCAGACCGAAAATGAAGCAATCCAAGCTATTGTTGGGCAAATCTGCATCCTTTCATCTCCTTCGATGCAGCAGCCCAAAAGTTTAAGAAGATCCCATTGTTGAAGATTGGATATCATCTTAACTTCGTTTTTAAACTCTTCAGTCCCTTGGCCAGAATCTTTTGAGATTCTCTTTACAGCTACGAATTCTTCTTGGGTTAAGTTGGCCTGAATATTAAGTATAGTCTATTAGCTTAAATTCGTAGCCAATGTCGTAAAGTATCGCATTATTAACTTGTAAACTGGACCGAAACCACGCTCCCCTAGTTTGTTTGTGTGGGAGAAGTGATTGGTGGCGGCTGCAATTGTATCAAAATCAAACAGTGGCAACTCCAAGTTCTCCTGACTGTCTCCTGAAGCTGTAAAATGAAAAAGCAAAAAGTAAACAAAGAGAGGAATGTAAAGGACACGTAAATATTCAGTCTTTTTGTCCATGCATTAGAGTTCCTCTGGCGGAGAAGCGTGACAGGATATGAACATGATAATTTTCATATATTCTTTCAGGGCACAATGCATTGAAGCATCTCTTTTCAATATAATGTGTCGACAAATATAACAGAAGGGAGCATGTGCATTTCTTACCTCTTTTATTTCTTCTCTTCAGAATTATACACCAGGAAGAGCCCAAACCCGGAAAAAGTAGCAAACAAACCGCTGATATGACTGAAAGGAATACTACTTTTTTATCCTCCTTCCGACTCGTTTTCCCTGAAGATCATACAAGATGTAAACGTTAAACCACACATTTTCAATTTTCTGATTTCAGTACTTCTTCATGTGTTTAGGCCCTAAATTGAAGCATAACAAGTTGCCCGATTTTGACCTATTCAATTTGATCCCTGCAACATACAATTCAAAAGAAAAAGATCTTGCTCTTGATCAATATCAGGAGCTAACATGAATGAAGCAAAGTACTGACTTACCTAGCTCTGAAAATGGCACCCGATCTATATATCTTGCTCTTGATCTCTATCTTCTTCAACGAACTCGCGCAGATCAATTAGGTCGCCAAACCACATCAGACAGCGATTGCCTTCATTTCTGATGTCCGAGTTAGCATAAGCCATACAAGAACAATTCTTTAAGCATTCTGCCTTGCATTCGTTGGTGCTAGTTCTATTGTTGACCCAAAAATCCAATTGGTCCAGAAGTTTCACTTTTTCAATTTTCAGAAACCCTTCTCCCTTTGGACAATTCAGTGGTGTCTCCCTTCCGCACCCACGTGTCCAATAAGCACCCCCATTCGCTGGTTGGTGTCGGAAAAAAACTCTGGCAAGCACTGGCAAACGGGTGATCTGTTAATCTTGCAAATGCCATTTGCTCCACACTGTACATAATTATTGCATGCATCATTCTGCAAAGTATACACAACAGCCCATTCAGTGCTTCCTTTATTGACAAGTAACCGCTGGATCTCGCCCGATACAGTAACCTTGGGATGGTAGAATTATTGGCAGCCTCATATGCATAGTATAACTCATTGGAATTGTACACATAAATTGGATTCACAACCATTCTTAACGTGTGGAATTTGGTTTCAATTTTATTTTCGTATATTATGTTTGAGATTGCAACCAACACACTTTTGGAGAAGCAGCAAAGGAAACAACAAATACACAACATCCCTTAAATTAAGGGATATTACACCTAGAAGTCAACTATAATCTAGAGTTGTGGAAAAACTAAGGAACATTACTTGGCTATTTAAAGATGAGTAGGAACTCCTACTCAAAACTCTTAGTATTGAACCACAAAGCTTTGTGCATATAATCAAAACCATTCATATTATCAATCACATTGTAAAGATCATAAACTAAGGTCGTTTAGTCAATCTATTCTAGGGAATAGACAGTTTGTACTGCTTTTACCAATTCCGTTCATTTGTTTTTATATAGTTCGATGACTAAACAACCTTAGTTTTAATTGATTTTTTGCATGGTGGATCTTTATAAGGTGATTTATATTATGAACGATTTCAGTTATAAACACGAAGTTCTATAAATTGGTAACGAACAATTTTGAGTAGGAGTTTCTACTCATCATTTGAGTAGCCAAGTATTGTTTACAATGAAGCCTTAGAGACCCTAAAGTCGACAAAAAGCATTTAAGGGCAAAACGCCACCCTAGAACAAAGCTAAGCCAGGTTGGCTATGTATGCTGCATGATGTTCAACACTCCCCCTCAAGCTGGATCCAAGGGATTAATGGATCTAAGCTTGTCATGGAGACTTCGAAAATGAGTGGTTACCAAAGCCTTGGTAAACAAGTCTGCTAATTGATCATGGCTTCAAGTGAAAACTATGCGAATAACCTTGGACTAGACTTGAGCCCTCACATAGTGACAATCCACTTCGATATGTTTGGTGCGCTCGTGAAAACTAGGTTTGATGCAATATGCATCGCAACCTGATTGTCACACATGAGAGGTATAGACGCAATGTTCGGGAACCCCAGATCAAGAAGAAGACTCTTGAGCCAATAAGCTCACAGGCTGTTGAAGCCATTACCCTACTCAGCTTTAGCGCTGGATCGAGCGATAACTTGTTGTTTCTTTCATTTCCATATGACAAAGTTTCCACCAACAAAAGTACACTAGCCAGTGGTTGACTTTCGATTAAGGGCATTGCCAGCCCAATCCATGTCTGTGTAGCCTTGAATAAGGGTGAAACCATTATTTTGCATCATAATACCCCGCCCAACAGACCCTTTGAGATATCTGAGAATCCTCTTAACAACATGAAGATGTTTAATGGTTGGTGCACACATGAATTGGCTAACTAAATGATAGAAGCATATTTAGGCAACTTAGTTGGCTTGTTCTTGTGCATTTACGTTGTTATTTCTTAGTTCTTTAAGTCTTTTAAGTTATTTTCGTATGTTTTCAGGATCTAAGGGCTAAAGGAGCAAAGAAATGCATTTTGGAGCCTTTTGGAGCACTTTTGGGCTAAGAATGGATAGCTTATGCTTGGAGCCAAAGTGTTGGACGAAATTGAAGGCCTTGTATGCACTTTAGGACATAAAACAAAGGGCCTAGCCCAATCAAACAATCCTTTAAGCCATGAAAAACCTCTAGCCCAATCAAACAATCCATCAAAGCCGTGCAAAACCACCATTCACACACACTTCACACAAACAACATCCTTTGCCGTGCTTCCCCTTGCATTTCCAGCTTTCCACACCATCATTGCAGCCACATTCTTCCATTCCCCTTTCATCATTCAGCAACTTTTCCCATTCATCAACCCATGCATCCCCTCACCAAGAAATCATGCAGCCACATGCACCCATAATCATTTAACCCTTGTTGCCGTGCATTCCCCCTTTGCATTTCCAGCTTCCCAGTTCATCATTGCACCACATTCTCTTCCATATTCCCTCTTTAATCCACATGCATTCATCATCATTCAACCTAGCTTTAATTCACATGCAAACACATTCATTTCCAGCACCAAACATCACCTTGCCGTGCATCCCATTCCATTTTCCAGCTTTTCTCCTTCATTGCAGCCACACTTCCACATGCATTCCCTCTTTAATCATTCTTTTCCTAGCTGTTTTTCCATCATTATTTCAGCCACATGCACTCTCAATCATAAGAGCCACATGCACTCTTAAACAATCAGCCACATATTCTCCCATTCCCCCTATAAAAACCCACGCATTCATACACAAAAACACACGATCTTCCAACAACAATCCCTTGCCGTGCATCCTCTTCATTTCCAGCATCATCCTCTTCATTTCTAGCACCTCCCCATCCCTCCAAAACACTATCCAACCACTCCCTACTCCATTCCACATACAATTACCACACCAAAAACCTATCCTTAGACCTTGTGCCGCAACAAAGAGGAGGAGAAGTGATAGGAGCATATTCATGTGACTTAAATGGCTTGTTCTCGTGCATTTACGTTATGTTTCTTTAGTTATTTTAGTCCTTTATGCTTCTTTTGTGTGTTTTCAGGATCATAAGACGTGTTTGACGAAAGGATGCATTGTGGAGTGTTTTGGGGCCTTTTGGAGCACTATTGGGCTAAGGATGGATAGCTTATGCTTGGAGCCCAAGTGTTGGATGAAATTGAAGGCCTTGTATGCACTTGAGGACACAAAACAATGGCCCTAACCCAATTACATTCACATTGCCGTGGGCTTAACACAAACACCATTCCTTGCCATGCAAGGGGGAGCAATTTGGGTCCATTTCATGCACTTAAACCCTAGCCCAATTACACACCATTGCAGCCAAATCCATTCTTTGCCATGCACATTCACCACCAATTCAACCACATGCACTTATTCCTCCATCATTGCACAACATTGCAGCCACATGCACCAAACACTTCCTTTGCCGTGCATTCCCAAACCCTTCACATGCATTTCCTTCATCACTTCCAACCCACATGCACCCTTTATTCTTCATCATTGCAACCATTGTACATTTACACCAACAAACAAGTCTAATCCGTGCATTTCCCTTGCATTTCCAGGTTGTCCACTCCATCAATTCAGCCACCATTCATTCTTTATTCCACATGCACACACATGCAATTACACACACCATTCAACCCTTTTCTATCCCTTGTGCCTTGCATCCTCTCACCAAGAAATCAAACAAGCCACATGCATTACACCCCACATGTCCCTTTAATCATTCAACCACAATCTTATTTCATACACAACACCACAACACAAACACAAAAACAGCAACCTTGTTGTTGCCGTGCCTTCCCTTATAATCCAAACACCATCCTTCCATTTCCATCACTCCCCACTCCATTCCACACTTCCATCCCCCCAAACCAACTATCCTTAGACCTTGTGCCACAACGAAGAGGAAGATAAGAGGGCCTAAACGTTCATACAATTCACGTATGAGTTGTTGGAATGTTTAGGTGTTTCTTTGATTTCAATGTTTAATTTCAATTCTCTTTGTTTTGTACGTATGAGGAACTAAACCCCCCTTAGCTAGGGGGTGATTCGAAATATATGTTTATGCTTGCAATATGATTTGAGTACTTTTAATTACGTTTCGTAAGTTGTGAATTCAATTTGTTTAACTATTTGATTGATAACCTATTTATGTATGTTTATTGAGAGTTGACGCTTAATTTTCATGCATGAATTTGACGCTAGAATATAAGTGAGTTTCACGTAATAGTTATGAACTTATATTCACAAGTAGTGGAGGTTGCTTATAAACAATCGCGTTAAACAAATTCTTGGCATAAGTTTCATGCAATCATAGTAACGAATGCCTCGTCAACACTTGTAGTTTTCATGTTGCTTAATGATTCTTGCTTGTATCTCTATTATGCAATTCATGTAGGGAACTTGTGAGGAATGCTTTGGGTTGTCGTATGCAATCATCCAATTCATTAACTTAAGGAAAACTTGACGGTTAATTTAAGCGGACCTAATTAACCCGGGGCGTTGAGAATTCATGGTTTATTGAAAAGCAATTAGAAACCATTTTGTATGCAAGTATAACATGTATGGAGATGAACCCTTAGCTAGCAATCCCATCCATTCATTCCCGTCACATTCATCTTTATAATCTGTTTTTATTTCCAAGTTTCCATTTTAGTTTAAAGTCGTCCAAATCCAATCCCCCTTTATTTTGTTTAGTCTTAGTCTTAATCTTTCTTATTTTTAGTTTTGCATTCTTCGAGTTTAGTATAGTGTTTTAAACTTGTTTTTACGTTTTTGAGTCAAAATCCAAGTGATTAACAATCCCTCCTAATCCCCGGTCCAAAACGATCCCTACTTATACTTATACTACAATTGACAAAAAGAGGGTTTAATTTGTGCGCGTATAATCATCGCATCAAATTTTGGCGCCATTGCCGGGGATTAGCAACTTTGCTAATCTCTTGGATTGTTTTATTTTCGTTTGTGTGTATATATTTTAGTTTTATTTTGTTGATTTTAGAAGCAAGACATGGCACTTGATAGTGCTTCTCTTTTGTCACAGCTTACGGAAGAGTACCAAACGCAAAGAGTAGGTACATTTGATCATAATCAATCAAGGAACGACGTGTTTTCCAATACTTACAATTCGGATTGGAGTGATCATTCAAACTCTATGTGGTGGGAACCTCAACATATTCAACAAGAAGGATATTGGCAGCCTTATGAGGAGTTCTATTCAACGTCTATGCATCCACCACAACCTCATATACAATATGCCCAACCAAACCAAGGTTTGTCAATAGATTATAATCAAGCTCTTAATGACTTAATTTCTTCGGTGCAGGGCTCACAAAACCAAGTAGAGGAGGCTCAACAAGGAGAATATTGGCAACCATATGAGGAGTTCTATACAGCACCTATGCAGCCACCACAACCTGCCCAAAGCAATGTAAGTAATTCAAGTGATAATGATAAGATTTTTCAATTACTTACTACTTTGACGCAGGAAGTCCAAACTCAAAACAAGGACGAACAAAATCAAGACAAGAAGTTGGGTAAATTGGAGGAGCAAATTGGGCAGATTATGGAGTTCATGAAACAAATTCA